AGAAACAGTTTTTCACAGACGATTGAGTATTTCTCATTCAATTAATTCAGTTCTCACTTCGCGACAGGGCAAAAATACATAAAAAACTCAAAAATCTCCACTAAAAAATTACTAATTATTAAAAATTAAATTACTAATTTTTAAAAATTAAATTATTAAAAATTAAGTAAATCTTAAACACTTATTTCCTCGAAAAAATTCCAGAAAGGACTAAGCATGATTTAAATCGCAATAATAAGTGAAGGCGTTTAACTTTGTTGTTGCGAAGCTACGTTTCTCTAGATTGGCAACAAATTCACTACTCAGCTGCTTCAAATGTAAACAAGAAATGGCCGCCATAAAAATGGGCTTAGCGGCACTTAAACAACTTATTAATAAATTGTTAATAATTCTTAAAATAATGCACAGATTTACTAAAGGCATAAAATCCTTAACCGGAAGATAAAAAAAACATAATTCAATCATTTTTAAAAAAAAAAATGTACAATTTACAAACATATAAGAGTAAAGAAACTGAGATCACTGAGCCGGGTAACAGAGTGGATATATTTATAAATATATTTATATACGTTTGGCGCGGCCGATTGAGGTGCTCATCTACATGTTATAGCAGTCCTATATACAAAATTTCAACCTTCTGAGGCTACTCGTTTTTGAGTTATGCGAGATACGTACGTACGTACGTACGTTCGTACAGGCGCCACAAAAAATTCTCTTCAGAATTCATTTTAAAGCAGTTTTTTAGTTTTTTTTTGGAGGAAAAGAGTCTTTTATTCTGTCCTTACGTACAGATATCACGCAAAAATGTCGTTAAATTGCATTCGAAAGCGGTCAAAGTGGATATTTTCGTTGAAATAGGCTGCCTGAAGCTTTTCGCGATTACAATACTTCCTTTTTACTTCATACAAGAAAGTAAAAAGAACAATCGTTATTCTCGCAAAATGTCACGTACCATCCCTTTGGTGACTTACCAACTGTCTATCATAGCCAAAACCATAGAAAACTGATAACATAACCATACTAAATTACACGAAAGTAACAATACATATACTAATATTTTTTTTTTTTTTTTTTTTTTTTTTTTTTTTGAAAAAAGAAAAATAATAAATTACGCCATTTTATATTACGCCCAAAAAGGCGTGTATTTCATTTACATATGCATTCAAATTTAGAAGTCCTTTCGAGAGCATTTGGGTTAACGCTCTTTTAAGTTAAAAATATTTAAAAACAGCATATCTTTAGAATTTCTGACAGACAGTCTTAGCGCTGGAAATAAAAGTGCTTTATTCCGTACAGTGCTGCCATTACATGCTATCAAATATACTCATGCGCTCCTTTGGGTTAAAAATACTTAAAAACAGTATATCTTTAGAATTTCTGACAGAAAGCTCGCGCCCTGGAGATAAAAATGTTTCCTTCCTCGCAGAGTTACCACTGCTCGCTTTGAAATTGTTGAGTTTTTTAATCAAAAATTCTTCAGAAAACATGAAATAGACAGTAAAACAAAATCGAAATTCAAGATTCGGGTTTCCAGGTGCCCATATTTGGGTAGAAGACTAAGTTATTCAAAATTTGATGGCTCTAGGTATCGTTGTTTTTTTCACAATGCGAGAAGCATACATACATTCGTGCAGATTCTTCATTATTTATTTTCTTTAAATATAATACAGGGAGATAATATTTGGTGGCAAAAAATTTGAAAAGGGATTCCACGCTTTTAGTGATTCCACGCAAAATGCCGCTTCGAGACTGATAGCTCTTTTGGCTAACACTCCTTTGGGCTAATAAATAGACACTTTTATTACATTACCAATTTATTAAATTATATAACATTACCAAGAAAGTGCATTGATGTGGCCCTGAACAGGATCTTTCATATCTCTCGCTGATCGTCATTGTACTTTAAACGCATGTAAAAAGCAGTTCAAACGATCTGATTTGGCATCTGCCAATTGAATCATTTCTATTTCACATTTGTCAATAGTTATCATTTCACGACTATAATCATATCAAAAACAATACTAAAAGCTAACGAGACCAGAAATTTGTCCCACTGTTGACAGACCGTCATCACAATTCAACAAGATAAAGAGGCAACAACATGCATTCTGTCCTCTCATATTGCGTACAATTATTAAGATGCCTCCATAGAACAACCTAATGTTTGCGTGTTAACATCATATTACAGGCAGTTGTATCACATAATTAATACTCATAACCATAGGAAAATACACGCTACATTATCTGATGTTACATATACGGCCATTTAGTTGAACTGTTGGGAGAATGCCAAACGGTCCTGTTGATACGGTGATAGAGATACCAGTCGGTTGCCCAGCCTTGAGCCTGAGTTCGACTCCCTGGGAAGGCAAGGATGTTTGCAAAAGCATTGTGTCTGAGGCTGAAGCACTTAAAATATACTATTGAATTGACAGATTTTTCGAGAAGCTTGTCGTAGGCAAAGAGGGATAAGAAATCCTCGGCCAATTTCCCTACGGCACCTTTTTCTAAACTGCGACGAACCCACTGAGAGCACCATCGGACTGTAAATCCAACAAACGAACCCAACAGCTGACATGCTAACCCCAGTTGAGCAGCCGTCCCCTTATATGTCACAAAAGGATACTCTAAGAAAACCACTCTTTTAACCATTGTGTGTATACGAGCTAATTTCCTTTAGAAAATCCTCCACAAAGGCATCCGTACCCTTAGGCTGATAGTCCTTGAGTGATTTGCCATAATCAAGTAAACCAAACCAAACTTTAACCCATTAGAGACTATAAGATAAATATCAAGGTCACTACCAAAAATACATGACGTTCGCTATCAAATTAAAGTATTGTATATAAAAAATAAATCAAGCAGTTAAAATATTCCGATTCTTACAACAAAAGCGAAGCTACTTTTATAGGAAACTAACTGTCAATCACAAATTCAGCGTAAGATAAATCCTCTAAGTCAACGTTGTGGGCTTAATCCCGATTAAGATAAAAACTATTTTTAAATTATTCAGCATATTCCTAAACTATTTGTATTAATTTTTTTTTTATTTCTTAATTTCACAGCTGATATCTTAAGGTTTTCAAGAAGTCTTTATAATAGTACTACAATGATTGCGTTTATGCTACTGCAAGCGATAGCGTTAATTTCGATGCTGACTATTCCCTGTATACGATCATATAGTTGTTTTATTTTAATATTTTTAAATCTCGAGTTATTAACCTTATATTAAAAAGTTTGTATTAAAAGAATTATGTTTATAAACATGGTTTAAAGGTACTGAACTAGTTTACTGCCTGTTCATTGTCCCTTAAATGGTCTCATAATGCTTCCTAGCTCTTCGAGAAGCATATGCTTTCAGAAGACAAATTCATAGCCAAGCCCCGAAATTTCGAACTCAGTATTAATATTAATTGCTAATTCAGAATCATTATTAATTATTGTGTGAATTATGCTTTTTCTAAGAAAAAAAATTCAGGTAAACTTTTAATGCGTTGTACCTTTATAGGAACACACCACGAAAAAGAAAAGATACTTACGTATTAAAGTAACCACCTTAGCTCATTTTGGCGATGTTTATAGATGAATAGGTAAAAGTCACTTATTCAGTGTAAATTGTTGATTTTCGAGACCCTTTTTTAAAAATGTTACCAAGCTGTCGATATTTATTCTAAATCGGTAAATATTATCAATATACCAAAAGAAAATACACTTTAAAAATTAAAAAAACATTTTAATTATTAAATAAGGATTATACGACATATTAAGAAAATTAATAAAACGCATTTTTCATGAAATCCTTTTATAATTTTTTAGTGCTTTTTCATCTTATGCGCACAGCGATCTTTCTCTTAAAAAGAACTGCAGAGAATTGTACAAACTCGCTTTTGTTCCTCTCAGCGATTTACAGCAAAATGTTGTATTCTTGCAAAAATATTACCGTAGTTATTTTCATTGCAATTAAATTCCACAGGTATATTTTACTAAAATTAAGGCAAAATATGGCACGATTTATTTATAAAAACAATTCTGTTTGGAATGGAATGAAACGAACGTAAACAAAAATGGCGACGTTGCTTAACTAAGAGCATGGAGGTTAGAATAGATGGAGTAAGCCTTCTTCGTATATGTCCCGTGCAATGAAAACGAAGCCATAACACGTCACGGTATGACGTCACCGCTTATCATGGCTGCTGCCATAAACTGACTTCTGGCTGGTTTTATTTACATTCTAATCAGTATTGTCTACATGTTAGCTATTCATCACTGAACGTTTATAAGTCTCCTGTTCTAATTTTAATGCTTAACATAAAAGATTTTCGACTTAGCATATAGAAAAGTCATAAGGACTGTAAATAGCACTTTCAAACTTAATAAAATCTAGGTACATGAAAATGTGTAAATGGTAAACTATAACACAAATAACACAAATGTAGACATGGTAAAAACCTGCAAGATCACTCGAAGTTTCAATGTTATTTTACGCAAATTATGCCTAAAAATACTTTTCTGGGCCTGCAAACTTTGATATTTACTTTCAAGTTCAGTGTAATTGTATTTAACAATATGTTTCGTAGTCTTACATGTTCGCTATACGGTGCCATGATAAGTCTTCAGGTCACGTTGCTGACATTTTCTCGGCTTCAATTTTGTGACTCCATGCTTACTTCATCTATTTTAACCTCCATGACTGAGAGGTTGTTATGAGTATAGTTGCCTGAAGATTGGTTATGCGAATGGTTGACAGAGTTTAGCATATTCTGAAAATCTGGCGATTTCTAATAATGTGGTTCCGATAACAGGTAAGTACCAAAAAACTACGGTTTTGTAATTTTTTATCTTGCTTTGTTTTGACTTGATGTACGAATAATGCATGAAATCTTTACATGATTAATTTTCATTCAAAGATATGATTATCACTTATACTAATGCGCTTGATAGGCGAATAATGTACCAAATGCAAATGCATATAAACATTTAAATGGTTAAACCTTTTTCAGACGATCGAAGAGAAGAAGAGGCTCCCTCTTGTGGAGTCTGACCGTAATCCTGGTAGTCACATGGAGAGGAGCTTCTGGGGGACATCATGGTAATAACCAAAGTGGAATGGAAAAATTATTAGCAGCTGGTCTCATTGCCAAAGCCCTTGCTAAAGGTGGAGAGGAAGGCGGTGGAGGAGGAGGTGGAGGTGGACATCATTATATGCCAATTCCTGTGCCTGTGCATGGTGGAGGCGGAGGAGGGCAACATCACCATCATATTCACCACAAATATGTCCCGATTCCGTAAGTTTGTTTTTAGAAACTTGTAAATTGAATGGTAAAATAACGGTACAACTTCTCCTAAGCACCATAGTTAGCACTTTGAAGTCTGTTAAGTATGTTCTAGGATCTTTTAATAGGAAAGGAAACTTCTTAATTGCAAGGCCAAGTTCTAAATTATATTTTCTACCCTTTTTTTATTTTATTTTATTCATGGTTCCTGGCAAGAGTACTTACGCTGCCCTTCCATATCCAGAAGCGGATTTATGGAATCGCTCAAATCGACCTGGTGTTCCTTGAAGCTACTAATAACTGCTTAAAAAATAATGAACGTCTCTAAATTCTTTTGGTAAATATATTTATTACAGCTTAAAATTTAATAAAGTAATGATTTAGTGTTATTAGCCACACAATGCTACAGGAACACGTCCTAGAACACAACAACAGCGATTTGCAACAGTTAAATCAAACAGTACGAGGTAAAAGTAGTGTTGCTAAAATTGTAACACCTGGTTTGGATTCCAGCTAACTTTCTAATGTCAGTTACCATAAAACTAAATTTACCTTTGTTCTGAATTCTCACGACCAGAATAGCAAACCATCAAACAAACAGACCACAGACTTACTAGAACACTTAAATTTGCCAGCCAACCTGGAACTAGTTTCATCAACAACGCTTACTTGCACAAAGTAAATAATTTATATCAAACCTAATGCAAAGATTACACGGTTACCTAAAGCACGACAGAGTTCCGAACACATATACTAACCAAGTAGGATCTAGCCTCGGTCTAAAGAATCCCCAGCAAAAACCGCCTTTTCGTCTATCGGCAGGCAAGCGGAAGTAAGCCAAATACTGCGACACTGCAGTGTTATTCTGGGGCGGTCCTGTCTACTTCTCAGAGCAATTGCAGACTTCCCTATGGAACTTTAGACTGAATGGCACATGAAATGTGTTCCTTGTAGGAGATTTTGGATAGTGTAAAGAAGCGTTTGGCTCTGTAGAAGCTGCGTTCAGACTATGGTATAAAGGGCATAAGGGCTTTAAGACAAGCTGAGTTGCCAGGTAACCAGTGTGTGCTACGTCACAAAATCTGGTTTAGGGCTCTTGGAATAAAGTTTGAAGTTTTCAATTTTATGCTGACTTTGGATAAGCTTCGACCAATCAGAGCGAACGCGCGAAACCTGAATGGGTAAACAGAGCGGGAAGACCCTGTGTCAAAGTGGGTGCGGCTTAGACCCTGCATCGAAGGTGTGAACGGAATTCTCGCATTTTATTACTTGTGACTCTACGTCACCGTCCGAACTCAGCCTTATGCGTCTTTTGCTATCAATAGCATTATGAGAATATCAGGGTAGGCGACGGGGAAGATGAGTGTTCCCAACTGTTAGAGTAGCCTCAGCTTCCAGGCGACGGTGTCCAGTCCAGGCAGCACACGAGATAAGAAAATATGCAGTAAATAAGACTTTACACCATGTAGCGTAACAGACAGTTCGGCTATGTGAAGGTGAGGGGGAAACCGTATGTCAGGTAACAAAACCTTCTTGCCACAGACGTTGTGCAGCATATGGACGTCGTCTGCTAAGATTTCAAACTTTAGAAATGCTGCGAAATTTGCAGTAGTTGTGGACCGCTGCTTTGCTGTAGAATTTCACATTAAGCTTCCTTCATGTCAGTTTTCAAATGATGCTGCAAATTTTCGTTTCATATGAAGTAAGGGGCGCCAATCATAACCCGCAACAACTTGTTTTGCAAAACTTATATTTTCTTCAGTTCGTTTTCTTTCGCACTTGCTCAGACTGGGGACACATAAATAAAGATCGAGCCTCGTAAAGACATAACTTACCGGCAAGATTGAGACTGAATCACTTGAGAGTAATGGGGAAAGTTTACAAATGATACCATATAATTTTCCACGTACACTGTTAATGTGCGAAAAGCAGGCCAAAACTCTCACACTCCTATTCATAAAATTCTACACTTTATTATAAAACCATTTGCCATTCAAATCCACATAAATTCTGGAATGAGCGACCTCGGGGCGCAAAGAAGGAGAAAAGTAGGAATTAAATTAAGTAACATTTCGGTAGTAAAATTTAAACATAAATGCCACAAAATAACATTAGGAAATAGTGACCATAGAATTAAAGATTTATTAAAATATAGAGCATATCTTAAGACGATGGGACAGTAAAAGTTTAGATGAGTTGTCGCACTCTCCCACATCTTAAAGTCTGCCACTGTCTACAAACTTGTTATTGCCAATGGGTTTTTTTCATGCATATTAACAAAACCCTTGCGAATATATTTCACACGATACTATACACCTTCAGACTTACTACCAATAAAGTTAAAGTGAAATACGTACAGTAATACATCGCATAGTCCACACAAAAATTCGATTCTGACACTACCCCAGTCTGTTTGAAGCCAGCTTGATCAAGGAATTAAATTCATACAAAAAAAATGGTAATTGATTCCAAAAACAACATTACTTCCTGGTGAACGCTACCGATAAATTCAAATGTTTTTATTAAAAAATAACATTTTGTAATTCATCTTTTGTTCTATGAAGGTTGCACTCTTTTCTTGTCTGACCTTCGCTTTACACATTTCTTTGCAGACATAAATTGCGTTTTTCATCATTATGCAAATTGTAAGGCTCTGACAAAGTTGCAATCGTTTCAGTCATTTTGTATAGTTTTTCAGCTTCGCTTCGATGTTACTTAAGGCTCCGTTCAAATGGTGGTATAAATATCATAAGTGGTTTAAGCCTAGTTTCGTTGCTAGGTAACCAGACCTTGCTGCGTCACAAAAATCTAGTTTAGAGGTTTTAAAATAAAATTCGAAGTTTTCAACCTTATGCCGACTTGGTATAAGAATTGGTGGAAGGCGCGAACCCTATTGAACGGGGAAAACAGAGTGGGAAAGCTGTAGGCACAATCCACGCATGCGCAAATTTAGCTTCTCTAATTGGTAACGGCTCAGACCCTCTCGCAGGTGTGGACGGAACTCTCGCATTTTATGCCTTATAACTATGCCTCTATAACATTTATACCACCTTCTGAAAGGAGTCTAAGTTGCTTAACAGTCGATGTTACTTGTCTTCATGAGACGTGGCTATGTATGTTAAGCTTAAGAAGGAATGTTCTGCGTATAGTTAGTTACATACGTGTGCAAAGGCTAACCATAGAAGGTATTAAAATAGGTGCTGTATTTCACATAACTTAAAAATCGCATAAAAGTAAACCGCACGAAAGAAAACTGACTGTATGAAAGGAGGAACAATTATTTGTGTTTTCAAAAATAACTTTGCATGCTGACATTTAAGAATTCATTTTTATTTTGCTCAATTAAAATTTAATTTGCTTTGAAATTTTCAGTCCGGTTTATAATGTACCCGGAGTGATTAAAGCCGGACTATGTGAAGTATTGCTGTATTTCTGGTCTCCTGGTATAAATGTTAAACATCAAGCAACCCTTAAGGTTTCTTTCCCCTCTTTTTTTTTAATAAATTATTTACTTTTTAACTGGCCAAGACCGAGAAAATTTATATTTGTTTATTTTCGAGGAATTGTATCATATTTACTTAAAATCTTTCAGTTACGATATCAATTAATTGCGTAAGTAAGCAGATAAAAAAAAACTGTTGTAAAAATCTGAAACGATTCAGATGTTCATGGTCATCCATCCGAAAGGCCTCTCTAAAATTTAATACTGTTTATGAGTACAGATTATCGTTAGAAATGATCCATATAAAATCACGAAACTTTTCATAGGATACTAGAGGAATGTATATTTAAACTAATACGAGAACTTTTTATATTTATTATAAACGTCTACATATTTCAAAAATGAAAAAATTATTTACTAATTCTATAAATAAATATTCAATATTTTTATTAGATATATCATAAGAAATGCATTTTTATTTAAATCATTTAGATTAAAAAGTAAAAAAAAAAAAAATATTCTTAAGAGCTAATATGTATTGTTTTTAAATAGCTTACTTTGTTAATCGGTAACTGACAGATTTAACATGGAAGATAAATATCTTACATTTTGGCAAATGGCAACAGACTCGAAATAAAAGTGAAACAACGCAAAATCATGTTTCGAGTACGACAGCCCTTTTGGGGTATAACTTAACAGTCATATATGTTTATAGCGCATGCTAAGGCAACAAGAATCAGTGTAAGATTCGTCAATTAGCAGGACTAGTTTCGAAGGTTTAAATTTAGAATTCAGAATCACATATGTTGCTGCAAAAACCATTCAGAAACCAATCTTTTATATTAATTATTAGCAACTGAATTCTTTCTTTTTTCTTTTCTTTAGCATTTCCATGACAGACAAACTTAAGCATGTCTTTGTAATTGCAGGGTAAAGCATCACACCAACTTTATCATCGCTCATCACAAAGTACCAGTGCCTGTACATGTACCAGTTCCTGTTGTCAAGACGAAAGTAATACATGTGCCTGTGGAAAAAACAAAAATAGTACCCATCATAGTGCACAAGCCTCATCATTATCCTCACATGTCTCATCACTCAGCATCGACTACCTTATACACAAAGAAGTATCCTAAATCCAGTCGTTCGCAGATGAGCCAAATAGCTTTGGCTACAGATAATAGAAACAAGCAAGTGAGAATAACAAGTTTGGGAACAGTTCGACAAGTGAAGAATCCATCATCAAATTCCACTTCAGTGCAGGTAAACCCTTCTTCTTTACAACTTGCAAATACAGTCAAACCTCTCATTAGGAGATTCTTTCCTACCAGCGGCTGAACTGTAAAGTCGCTAAACGCTGGTAGTTCGGTCCAGGGTTCGAATCACGACCAACGGGCTGCCTGCATGGGTGTTTCCCTGGTTTTCTCCTTGTGTAACGTGTATGCGAAAGAGTTTACCCTAAGAAAATTCTTCACGTAGGCATTCCTCCGTTTAGGCATATAGCCTTCGAGGGCTTTGCCATAATCAAAGTAAACCAGACCAAACTATAACCGTTAGGGAACACGCATAGTACATCCATTACCAATGAATGTCATCCGCTAAATGGCAATGACCACTTGCTAAGAGGGTCCCAGCATTCATGAAAAGCCCAATATTCGGAAGTGTTCAGTAAAGTTTTTTTTATATTTTTTACTAGTGGAATTACCCGATGCCAGTTTTAGATTGAGAGTAATGTACCTAACAACATAGACAACGATATCGTTTTAATCCTTCTCTAATAACGATGCAAACAATGCGACTCGTAGTCATACATTTTTCAGTCTGATGCGATATGGAACCCACATAAAAAACGCCGATAGAAAAATAAACTAATTACATCACCAACAATGCCACGCAGTTTTTAATTATTTTTGTCTTTCTAATCAAAATGGTCATAAAAGATAAAGTTCCATCCAATATTTCACCTATATTCAATTTTAGTCGATTAAATGTGGCAAAAAATTTATCATAAATCAATAACGCGAACAAACAAACACACAAACAAGCATTCTTTTTTTATATATAGATTAATTAGATTTGTAAAATTTACAAATTTTTGATTAATGAACTCTACGATTTGAAAGCGAGCAGTAGTAACACTTTTCGAAATAGAACATTTTTATCCCCAACGCGCGAGATTGTTGGCACTTCTTTAAATTTGTATACTGCAAACAAACGAATGTTTAGTTCTTTTCATCGAAGCCAGAAATTAAAGATTTCTTTTTAAATTTATAACCACAGTAAATTTTATTAAGTCTGCTGAAACTTAAAGTTCATGTTCGAAACTTAAAGTTCATGTTCGAAACTTAAAACCATGTTCGATGCTAGTAAGGAAGCCAAGATTTGTACCCCCACCCTGAAAATGAATGCAAATAGGAAGGTTTTATTAATTAGTTTGTTTGCGAGGTTTTATCTATTTACTTTAACTAATAGTTCCTTAGGGCCTTTCTGCCACTCACTTTTTACCCACGCTTTTCATGCCAGAATGTAAATGAGATAGCCAGCGTTTATTCAGATTGAAGGAGAATGAAGGGCAGTTTAAGCGAAGGTTACGCAAGTTACTTTTTAGAACATGTTCTGCCTACTTCAGGACACCGTGACCGTTATCGATTTGATTCTGTGGCTTTGAGGGCTTCCAGCCATTTAGCCTGTCTAGCCGGTTTTCTACAAAGCACAGCCTTTCCTGCGCGTTTAAATTATCCCGTGAGCCGCCAGGCTAATCTAGCACATTTGAATTAGTTCATCATTACGTATTTAAGTTAAGCCAGAAGTTGGTTCCCAAGTTGGTTCATTGTTAGTTCTTTGTGTTAAAATAAAAGGGCTATTTACCGCCTTCTTCTGACTTTCTCTGTCTACAGTTTTAAGACAAGAGAATTATTCCTCCAGAACTCACTAGATTATGCTACAAAGAAAGTGAGACTCTACGTGTTAAACCTCCTTATTAGGCGAAGGGCATGGTTCGACCGAAGATGCCGCACACTGCAGCTTTAAAAATACGGACCCGAAGCCATCACCTGCCTGCCATCAGGATCTGAAGTAGAATCGCCCGCTATTGATAACTTTCTCCAACCGGTAGGTTAGTGACTCTGACTGCCGTATCGATGAGGCCGGGTTCGAATCCTGGAGAAGGCATAGATATTTTTAAGAGTATGGCATCTTCGCGGCAACGGAGTGCTCAAAATGCACGGTGAGCCGAAATTCCTCTCGAGAGGTTCATGGTAAGGGAAGAGGGATGGGAGGTCCTCGGACCGTCCTACGGGGTGTTCTTCCTCTGTCCTCCTTCAATACTGGTGGAGAAGCTTAATAATTAGCAAAGACCGGCAATTAACTACATACCGATGGGAATGCACAGATGCCGGTCATGCTTTCACTTGAACCTGTCTATTGACGACTGGCACATTAGGTTACAGATGTTACGTAGGAATTTGGCTCGTGTGTTTTATAGCCCTAGAGACGAGGCTATTGGAATACAGATCTCAGTCAGTACAATGATCTTATAACAAGTGTCATCCTTTCAGACCAATTAACTTCTTGTTAAAGGCCTACTATTGTGTATCATTCTTTCTAAATAGCAATTCTACAAGTTTTCTTTCCTTTGTAATTTGGTAAACATATTTTGAGCAATTAAGGGCGAGAAATGTACATACCTGTTCTAAATTCAAAAAAATATCATAGCACTAGCTGAAAAATTTCTAAAACATAGATATTGTGGTTAAATGTAAAATTAGCTATAAATTTTTGTTGTATGAAATTAAACTGGTTGTTCAACTTAACAGCTATCTGCAGATGCATTCAAACTTTAACCTCTTGGCTAGATAAGATAGCCCCTCCTTTGCCAAAATTAATTTTGATTGGCTCTCTGCTATGTAAAAGTACTGATCTAGCTTACTATATTTATTAAAAAGGGATTCCCTAATAAACTGTATTCAACTCATAAGAACAATTTGATTTCTAGTATTTTTAAATATAAAAACAAAATTATGATTACTAAATCATGCGTATGGACACCGTACATACATTGCGATAAAATTACATGCGAAAAAAGTACTTTAAATGAAATGTACTGTATACTTCTAATGTAATTCATGGTTTCCATCTAGCTATATAGATTTCAAAAGTGCCTCTATTGTAATTCTAATAATTCAGCACATTAATTAGCTATATTATTTTATAAAATTCCTTTTAAGTAGAAAAACAATTATAAAATTTTAAAATCCGTGAGAAAAAGTGTCAGTTAATTATTATAATTATTTATCCGCTGAAGACAAGTCTACTAAAATATATAACAACTGAAAAACTAAACAGTTATATAGTAGCAAGGTCTTATAAAACTTTCAAAAATAACATTGTTTTTAATATTTATTTAAATACCAACATAAACGCAAGCTGACTTTAAATTATAAGGTGTGCTAACAAAAGCGCAGTATTTTATATGCCCTCAAAAATATTTTATTTTTTGCAAAAGGAAAATACTTTTACGTTCTTACAACAGACAAATGTTCCGATTTAAGAAAGTTTAATTTTACTTAACCTGGTAGGAATGGCATTTTTACTGTAGTTCATTTCATAACCGCATTACAACTTAAACGATCTCTCAACCGGTATAGTGGTTACTGCCTGGTGGTAACTGACTGCCGCTGGTTCGGATACCGGAGAAGGTATGGATATTTGTAAATGTATAGTGTCCGAGCGGCATGGCGGCCTCTAAATATGCGGCGAGCCGAAAGTCCTCTCGTGCGGTTTCGTGTAAAAGGAGAGGGATGGCAAAACTGAGCTAAATCGCACTGTCACCTGTGAGGTTTTCTCCCCGGAGGTTGACTCAGAGAATTCTGGGAAGTACTGGTTAGGATCTGTACCTAGGCAGTTTCAAACCACTGGGGTATATAAACAGTCTTCACAGGACTAGAACCCGAGTATTGTACTTAGGTTGGCTCAGGCTTGGCAGGGACCGTACTGGTACTGTCGTGTCTGTTCCTTTGGCTGTTGTGGAGCGAAATAGTAGATTTACTCGATCTTCTCGATGGGGGTTCAGCCCTCATAGTCCCAGTGACGGGGACTGACGGAGTAAGGTAAGGCACCGAAACGAATTAATTGATGCTGAGGGAGAGGTGTCCCGAGGCAAAAATGACAGAGCGACGTATTTTGTATTAAGTTTCAACGTTTTCGCCCTTGCTGAGGATACGTATAAAGCCGGGCAGGGACTGTGGAGTCGGCGCCGCCACTGAGGGGTCCCTCTAAAGCCCGGTACATCCAACTTCGAAAGGTAAATCCAGGACGCGGGTCCAGGTTTTGGCGACCTGTCACCTGTGAGGTGCTCAAGGCTGTTGCCAACGAGGAATTTTGTGGGTTTGAGCTGGCTATATGTCGGACAAGTGAGCATAAGTAACAAGAAGAACACAATCGACATGGAGCGCTACAAAAAGGAATAGGCCCGTCAGCGGCTGAGCCGTAAAGTCGCTAAACAATGGTAATTCCGCCTTGGGTTTAATTCCAGACGAACGGGCTGGCAGCATGAGCGTTTTCGGGATTTTCCCCATGTGTAACGTGTACACGAGCCAGTTTCCTTTAGAAAGGTCCTCTAAGAAGACATCCCTCCCTTTAGGCAGATAGCCCTCCCGTGCTTTGCCGTAATAAAATAAACCATACCAAAAAGGAATAGAGATTTACAAGAATGTTGGTATGCACAGGAAGATGTTCGTTGTAAGTGCACAATGGTTATGCAAGAGATAGCATCCATAGGAAGCTTCGTGTAATCTTTTGCTGGGAAAATGCACTTAAAGGAACGACAAATTACAGATTGATAATAAAATTTGAGGACACAGCTTCAACTGAGTTTGACAATTCGACAGAAGACTTTAAATCACTATACTCTAGACAGTTTGTTGAAAACGCGCCTATTGTACATGACAGTGTTATTGCAAGTCCCAAGAAAACGGAAATTAAAAGTAAAGTTTTTGGTACCTTTTCCGTTTTGTCGGGGCAGGCGATAAAGTCTCCAATAATGGTACAACCGATGCCGAACGGAATATCCTCGCTGGTAACCTTTTACTCCGCATTTTCAAATTTTCAAAACAAGTCGCAGCCATTTCTTATCAGATTGATTGTTTCTTTCAATACTGGCATACAATTACGTGGAAATTTTACCAGATAGTTCAATTTTATGCCCTAAGGCCATTCGCGGACGGTAATTAAGCCAATTAGGATGCAATCACACCGCTCACCCGACGGCGAAAAAATAGAAAAGGCAAAGTCAAGGGTTTAAATTCATCCATTCTAATGAGAATGCACTAGTGAAGTAAAGCACTGCGGTTTTATATAATTTCTGAGTAAGCTATTCGTACGAATTGAAATAATTCTTGCATTTAAACTTGTATTCCAAATTAATATTTAACTTGAAATTAATGTCGATAATTACTGAAAGAATTAGGTTTTTGTAGCGTAGTTTACGTGAGATGAGATCACTTGGGGTCACGTGATATGAACCGGAGAATTAGGATGTTGTACCATAAAAGCATAGTAAATTCTTAAATTAATGTCTTTTTACAAATTTATTGTCTTTATTTATAGGCTTTTTTACAAAATTTTATGCGACATTAAAATGCTTATACCTTCAAAATAAAAAATTCTTAGAATTAACATTTGTCAACATTTTTTATGTGTATACCGTGTGTTGTCGCCAATACAGTCTGCTTAGCGAGATTTGCGCTGGCAAAATGGAAATGTACCAGTCTTTTTTTTTTAAAAATCTGAAAGCTTTCAGATTTTGTATTATGCCCAAAGAGGCGTTTCTTTAACGTTTTCGGTGTTGACATTATTTATTAAATATCATGTTCTTCGCACTTAAATCATAAAATTCAATTCAACATCAATATCACAAAATAATTTTAAAAGATCCTATCTTTAGAATTTTCGACACACACTCTCGAGCGCTGGAGATAATTTTTTTTTTTTTTTTTTTTTTTTTTTTTTTTTTTTTTTTTAGTCCAAAGGGATTTGAATCCCGAAGGACTATTAGTTTCGTTTTCGCATTTTGCGTCGGACGGATAAATGTCGGTTCACTTTTCAAACTGTTGGCATAAAATGTTAGAGTCCTGCATTATATTTGAAGAAATTAAATAATGAAAATCTGCGTAAATGTATGTATATTTCTCGTATTGTCATAAAATAACGGTACATAGAGTCATCGAATTTTGAATAACGTAATCCTCCAACGAATATGAGCATGTGGAAGACCAAATTTGAAATTTGAAATTTGTTTTATGATTCGATTTCCTATTTTTTAAAACTTTGAACGAATTTTTGATTGAACAAACTCAAGGATTTCAAAGCGAGCAATGGCAACGTTTGTGCAGAAAAAAAAAAACATTTTTATCTCCGGCGCGTGAGTCTCTCTGTATCGGAAATTCTAAAGATATGCTCGTTTTAAAACTATTTTGCGATATTGCTGTTGCACTGGATCTTATGGTTTAAGTGCGAGGAACATGATATTTAATAAAGAAAGGAAAACGCCCCTTTGGACGTAATTTAAAATCTGAAACATTTCAGTTTTTTTTTTTTTTTTTTTTTTTTTTTTTTTTTTTTTTTCCCATCCAGTGTTGCCATTCCTAGCTTTGAAATCGTTATCGTTGAGTTTGTTAATCAAAAATTTATTAAAGTTTCACAAAATATGAAATAGATTGTAAAACAAATTGCAAATTCGGACTTCCAGATGCCCGTATTCGAGTGGAGAACTACGTTATTCAAAATTCGATGTCATCTAGGTACCGTTGTTTTTTCACAGTGCGAGAAACATACATACATTCAGGCAGATTCTTCATTATTTAATTTCTTTAAATATAATGCAAGGCTCTAATATTTGATGGCAACAATTTGAAAAGTGATGCGCAGTTTATAGTGAACCAACAAGAAATGCCAAAGCGAAATTAATAGCCCTTCTGAGCAAATTGCCCCTTTGGGATAAAAAGAAAAAAGAAAAAATCTTAAGGACGAAACGAAACGTGTCACTAATCACCTCGATGGTCGCATATGTGAGAAAGTGATTACGAATTTCATGGAACTGCACGATGCTGTAGAACAAGTCATGAGGACACATGCCAAATATTATTTATCGTTCTTAAGTTGAAACATTTACCTGTTGTAAGTACGTAAAAATAGTTTTCATTTTCTAGAAATAAAGTATTTCATTTGGCAGATTGAAGCCGGTGCTTTTATCGGAACATCATTTATTTATTTATGTACTCCTAGTAGTTTACGGCTCGAACAGTAATACAAACTCATATAATTGACTGAACTGTTTACAAGATGAGGCTGACTGCCTGGAAAAGGTTGCAGGTTTTTTTACAAGAGGATCTTAAATGTAAAGCTATGTAGCTGGTTGACTACATTATCGTTAAATTCATAAAACGTTTACCATTATACAGCGGTTAACTTACTCAGGCAACACATAGCAAAATAAGTGTTTTGGCCATCAAAATTTTTATTTTGATTATTGATGATATGATTGATTTGAAAATTTTTATTTTGATTTTTATTTTGATGTTCTTAGATTCAAGGAAAGAGAGCACCATAAAACGTCTCCATTGTCAGCTTTACCACTAAGTGTATGGTGCCCCAAAATTAAGACTGGAAGGATGAAATTATGGAGGGGAAACATAAATGCATGTAGGGGCAGAGAAATCTTTAAATACTTAAAATTTTAATCCAGCATCTAAATTCTTAATCCGGCCTTGCTTATTGCCACTCAGAAATATTTTGCTTCGAAATGCCCAGCTACGGTAAGGTAGCTTCCCCGCAAAATGGGTTTAGGGTTGCCAGAAAATGACAAAGAAAGGCAGGGAAGTAAGATTTGGCGCAAAATAGTCCATCTGGCGACAAAATTGGCGATATGCAATAGACGGAGCAAGAACATTCTAGGACATATTCTTTCCGCTTTGCCCCAGAATGTTCTGAAAGGCAGGAAGGACAAAAGCTATATAAACCCTGCCTGTACGTAGAGTAGCAGTGTATCGAGAGTACGTAAAGCGCATTTTGAGCTCAAAGATTAGAACTGTGCTTTAGTGCTTTGCCCTGAAGCTGCCATCGCCGTTTATAGCCTAAAGGCTGTGTTGCTGATTGTTTCAGCTTGTTTGTCATAGTTTTTGAAAGACTGTAAACATGTTTTTGAAACTGTCCTGAGTAAGACTGGCTAATACAGTCAAAAGTCGTTAATCCGGACTCGTCGATACTTCGGCGATTCCGGATTATCGATTTTTTCGGATTATAGATCATCAGTTTAAATCTCGCAAGATGGCATGCAGAAATTCTAAAATTAAAAGTATGAAACCGTAATTTATGAAATAAAGAACAATTATGATTAAGGGTATCAAAATTTGCAAAAAGAAAAAGCTTAATATTTATTTGTTTACTTTATTAAACATTTCTTTCAATGTAAGTTGTTTAAGTTTTGCTTCGTTTCATGTGATAATACTTTCTCTTTAATTCTATTATTAATTAACAGACATAATTTCTTGTTCAGTTACAAAGTTCCGCTATTCAAGTCCTATAATTGCTGTGTCCGAGAATATAGACTAATTTGTCAATCGAAATTTTTTCGTTTTCAATAACATCTGTCACTTTCTTCGCTATCGGAAGCGAATTATAATGACGAGGAACTTGTTTTAAATCATATCAAAGACGGAGCACATCGAGATGAAATACTACATTTGATAAGGAATTATAAGTCAAATAAAATAAAAACATCTGCGCTGAAGATAAGGATAGTGCTGACAGATCAACTTCCAATTCATTACGCGCCCGCTGCGGCGCCGAGCAGCGTGAAATTGATAAACATATTTCGAATTTAAAAACATACTTTCGCTTTAAATTCTTTACATATTAACAAATATATATCGGAAATTCTATTTGATATAATCGAAAGTTTAAGCTTACTTTTATAAAATTGCTCTTACAGTCTGCAAAAAATAATAAGCCGGATCCAATTCGAAAATTAAGGAACAACGCAATCATCAACATTAACTGAAATAGGTAATTATTTAGCTTATACGTTCCATTATACATAAAACGCGCACGCGAAAAAAAACGTATTCTGCACTTGCGCACACTCATTGCGCAGTCGTAGTTTTAAAAGGTCTTACGCGCACGCGTAAACGCCTATGCGCATGTGTCAACGCGGCGCATGCGCAGAAAGTTTTTAGTTTTGAGGTCCGGATTATAGATCATTCCGAATTATGGGTGTCCGAATTAACGACTTTTGACTGTAAATTGTGTTTTGATTCCTCATCAATCCACGAACCCGTAAAACACAACAATATACACAACTGTACAAAACAATATTCAGTCAGACGCAGCGATGATGTCGCACAAGCGTCAATAGGCCTACGGTTAAGATGAACCTCCTCTTTTTAAACTACGTATGTCATTAAATTTTATACAGCATTCTGGTCTGAGCGAATACTGAGACAAGAACTAAGAAGGACAGGATAAAGTTTAACTCAAGTCTAACTGTAGTAAAAGTTAAGAATAGCTCAGGCAAAATTCCTAGTGCATGGTTTATTTTTTTCTTACTTGACTATTTAAATATCTTTACACTTTCTAATGATTATCTTCTTTTCCCAACAGTTTCATCGGAATTCCAGGGTACCAGATAAATGGATTGTTGTGGTAAAGAACAAAAGGAGGCCTAGCATCCGAAGGAATGGACAAGAAGCTCTTCCTACAAACACTACTCAGAAAACGTAGCAGGCAATTTTAAACAACCAACACAGACGGCCAAATTCTGGATTCAGGAACGTCGATGATCGCTGGTCTTCGTCTAAATTACAACCGCCGAGCGGTATATTAAAGACGGCGCAGGGTTCCATCATCCACATCCACACATTTTACTGTACATAATAATAACTTTAATTCAGTGTCTGTGAAACAGTCTACAGAAAATTTATTGTATTTTATGAGGAACAAAAATGTATCCGATGGGAATTTCGTACATGTTGAACAAGTTTTAGTTCTTTATGCACTTGCAGTTCAGATTTGTTGAGTTTAATTGTAAGTGATTTCGAAGACGACTGGATTGTCAAATGAAAGTTAGTTATACTTCCATAATGTGTAGTTTTGGTAAATAAAAACAACTGCATTTTATTTGATTACTCGTCCATATACTTTATACAAAATACAATAAACTGAAATATATTAATCGAACTTGTGAAAACTATAAGGAAAGGTGACCTTTACAGTAAATGTTATCTAGTAACTACATGGTTGAAATGGGAAATATCCTCGTTACTTGACTATTCCCAGCCACTTTTTCAAAATCGGGAAACATTATTTTTCCCATAAACTACAATGCTATAACTTTTCTTCTAATCCCTCTGTCTCATAACAATAATAGCAGCTGACGAATTAAATTTTCTCCATAACAACAATAGCAAGATAAAATAAATATACAACGCAACGTATATTAGAAAAAATAGATTAAATAAAAAAAAATAAAATCTGGAAGCTTTCTGATTTTATATTAAGTCCAAACGGATTTGCTTTTGCATTTACAGACACATATACGTTTTGAAAGCATTTGGGCTAACGCTACATTGGGCTAAAAATAATTTAAAAACAACATATCTTTAGACGTTCGGATAGAAAGTCTCCGGCGCTGGAAATCAAAATGTTTTATTCCCTACAGTGTTGCCACTGCTCGCTTTGAAATTGCTGAGTTTTTTTTTTTAATCAAAAATTCGTTAAGGCTTTACAAAACATGAAATAAACACTAAAACAAATTCGAAATTCAATATTCGGACTTCCAGATGCCCGTATTTGGATAAAAGATTACGTTATTCAAAATTAGATGGCTCTAGGTATCTTTGGTTTTCACAATGCGAGAAGCATACACGCATTCATGCAGATTCTTCATTATTGACTTTCTTTAAATATAATACAGGGCAATAGTGGCAACAGTCTTAAGTGATTCTCGATTCAATCGTCTTAAGTGATTCTCGAAACGGCATTTTACGTAATAAAATGCCGTTTCGAGACTAATAACCCTTCTGGACTAATAATAAATTAAAATATTACGTCTGATTTCTAATTTGACTGTTCAGATAGTTTCTGGATTTTTCAATAATTTCGTTACTGCATTTTAAATTTAGAGTTAGGATCCATTGGCTACGAAACTTTGCTTTTCATATTTATGGGTGAGCTTAAAATTATTTGGAGTCATCTTCATTGCATCCTCCATTAACTTTTAAAGTAACAGAAACGTATTATCCAGTATTTCGCGCGAAATATTATTAAAGGCTATATTTATTGCTGTTATGGTGTCTCTTCTGCTAAGAGGAATATGTGTTTCAACTTTTTCTCCATAATCTTTATAGCTGAGTCCAGAATTTTTTTTTAAATAAGAGAATCAACTTTAGCATAAAATTTACCTTCACAATTATTTTCAGAAGCAAGTTTTCAAATTCTTGATATGGTCATCCTGTTTCACTTATTGTTTTGCAGCTTACGTAATTTCATCTTTCTGCAATTTTTCGTTTTTCTTTCTATGCATCAAGAACTGGACAATCGTAACTCGATCTTTGTTTAAAAACTATTTTTTACATCTTACTTTTACAATGGGTCGATGTTCAACTGAAATAAAACAATTGATTTCGATCAGTAGATGAAATTAGTAATTATAATTCTCAATAATTAGGTTAACCTGAAAATTCAAAGATTTTTCAAAACAAATGACATATGTCATGAGGTTACAGCCGAAAACATCGCGGACGAAAACGTCGCGGAGAAAAAAACGCAAGGCGAAAACGTCGTGCTACACAACATCGTGGGAGAAAACATCGCAGTTCTAAAACATCGTGGTACAAAACATCGTCGTCGAAAATAAAGCGGTTCAAAAACTTCGCATTTTACAAACATCGCCGTCGAAAATATCGTGGTTAAAAAATAAAGTATCTACAAATCATCGCATAACAATAACATCGCAGACATGCTTTTTTCAGGCATGCTTTAATAAGTGTAAAATGGATATTCCCATAATGATTTGTGAGCGCAAGATGGAAAGAAGGATAATTTTTACTTTCATATTTTTATTAGCTAATAAATTTTTGCTGAGAAAATAAGAAGGAAACTTAACCATAGAAAATTAATGCAACTTATAGCACTTAATACAATTTTAAACTGACATTGTTAAACTAACAAAAAGGCCGTTAATAAAAATCATTTTTATAAAGTTTTTACAGGTAATTTTTCATGAAAAGTATAATCTGTAAGTTGCATTAATTTTCTATGGCCTTCTTACTTTTTCAGCAAAAATTTATTAGTTATTAAAAAAATGTGAAAGTAAAATATATCCTTCTTTACATCTGCGCTCACAATCATTATGAAAAATATCCATTTACAGTTATTAAACTTGAAAAAAAAAGCATGTCTACGATATTATTGTCATGCGATAATTTGTAGATACTTTATTTTTTACCACGATGTTTTTAAACTGCGAAGTTTTTGATCCGCTTTATTTTCGACGTCGATGTTTTGTACCACGATGCTTTAGGACTGCGACGTTTTCTCTTTGCGATGTTTTCTCCCACGATGTTTTGTAGCACGACGTTTTTGCTTTGTGTTGTTTTCTCCGCGACGTTTTCGTCCGCGATGTTTTTGCCGCGATGTTATCGGCGGACACCATGTCATGAAACATTGATTTTCATTAAAGGCTTCGTAGTTTTGCGCTACAACATACGCTTGCGAGCAACTATTTGCGAGCCATTACATTACACGTTGCCTGGTAACATTACTCTTAATATACGTCATCTTTGAGGTCATAATGGGTTGTTTCAGTTTAAAATGAATGACTCTTATAAGTACCTTTGCCAAGCAACCTCCTAACAGCAATCTAAGAAAATGTTAATTGAAAGAATTGAAAAGCCCACCAAGTCTGCAAATAAAATGAAGGTTGTTAAGGTTGCATCATTTAAGGCTGCACATATACTTGAAATCACAAAAACCTCTTTGGGGACGGAAACGTGGAGAAACAACGTTTGCTTCATCAGAAGTGTTATATCAAGAAGCCAAAAATAAGAAGGGAATTATGTCAGCTATCCAAGATGTCCGGTTATTCAGATATTCCAGAACTCGTAGAATGTGAGCTGTGTAGGAAAATATCAAAAGACAAATAAAAGTGGATTTACAAAAATGTATTTCTTTAAATTTATAGTGTTAGGAATCATCAGGTGTCTGCAACGTATCCCTAATAAATAGCTGGGTATCCGATTTAACTTTTCTTACAGACATAACAACCAATATGAATAAACTAAATCTTGAACTTTAGGGCAAAGAAAAGCTTGGGTTAATAGGAAATATTAAAAAATTTAAATCGAAATTAAATGTGTGATATCTCAAAGAAAGGAACGTAACATTTGCCACTTTACAAATTTGGAGAACTGCATCAAGAAATATGATAGAATTAAAAAAATTAAATATTCTGAAAATCTCGTCGAACCTAAAACTAATATAAAAATTAGATTTTTCTGATTTTCCAAGCCTATTGCCTCATTCATTTCAAATCGTTTTGCTGATATTAATATTTCCTAAATATCGCAAAAGTTTCCAAATATGTTAAATAAAACTTCTACTGATCTAAGAATAAAAATAATTGATTTTTATGTCTCATTTATGATTAAAAACAATAATATCACAAAAAGATTTTTAGAGACTCATAGATGAGAAAAAATATCCACTTTTAAAAGAAATTTTTCAAAGGTTAAACTCATTCTTTGGATCAACTTAGCACTGCGAAATTGGTTTATCAATAATGAATTTGTTCAAATCAAAATCTTGATCAAGGATAACAAACAAATATCTGAATAACTGCATGAATTTAGCTATAATCTGTTTATATATATAAGCAGCTAAAGTGTGTGTCGCCGATAGTTTCTTGTTGCCACTCCGAAAAATGAGCTCGGAAATTAACGTTTCCGCAGTTTTTAATTAATATCTCAACCGATTAAAGTCGTACGAAGATGAGAACGATATCGATGGATTCGGAGAATTTTTTGGAATCCGAAGATACGCGTCTCAAGTTTCAACTAGGCGCCGTTCCGTAGATATTCGAGAAAAAAATTTGGCACGTAGCCAAATCCATCTAATAGGAAAAACCCAAGAAATAAAGTGGAAAATGTAGGGAAAACGTAAGGGAAAATTAGTTTTTAATTAATATCTCGGCTAATTAAAATCCTGAGAAGACGCGAATGGTCAAAATGGCGTGCCACGGACCTGCGGAATCCAACGGTGTGCTTCGCTAAGACCGGGAGCCAGCCGTTTCGAAGGAGATGATGTTACTCCCCCCCATATATATAAACGCGGCTTAAGTGTCTGTTTGTCGCCGATAGTTTATTGGTGGCTTGCGTAACTGTACTAGCCAATGGGGGTGAAGTTGACGCCACGCACAGGGTCTCATGGCCAAACGCTTAAGCGTTTTGGCATTTTTTTACCTGAGCCTGCATTTGGACATTATCCGCTTTACGTTGACTGTTCAAGAGTTCGTGAAAGAACGGACGTAAAATTAAAAATACTGGATGGTCCTCTGCAAGGCGAACTTAAAAATGATGGAAAGATCTACACAAGAAATGTTGCGTACAAAGAGATCTTTGACATGTGAATTAACGTTTCATTATTTAAATTACCTTTATTGATTGAGCTAACGGTGGCTCTTAAGAAATGTACCGCCGGTGGTTTCCTTCATTGCACTCTACTTTAAGCAATTAAGCAAGTAGAAATGGGACACCCCATGGGGGAGTAAGCAAAGGGGGTGTCCTCGCCTCCTGCCCTGGGTAATTCAGTTTAAATTAGCAGACACCTTTGCACAAATCATTTTAATTACAATTTATAATATCTAGGACAGCGGTCATTTCGTATGACCGCCGGGCTTTCTGGTATCATATATATCAGAAAACCAAAAAATTCGCAAAAGTCATGCAATATCGGGTTTCACATTAAAATGTACTTTTCCTGAACTTAAATTGCCTCTCATTGGATTTTTAGTAAATAGTAATGTAAAGAGTACATAATTACACTTTTTTTTTAAATTTATTATAACACATGTTTTTAAAGTTTGTGCATTACAGCATCACATACGTTTATAATTGATATATTAAAAGTGCAGTATATAATTCTGGCGTGCCAAAATTTTTTTAATTGTATCACCTTTTTTGTCTCATGCATCCCTTTCACTTCTGATAGATGATCATTCCTTCTTTCCCCGGCTCCGTTTCAAAACTCGAAAAATACATATGCGTTTATTTAAATTTAGGTTATCTTCTAATGTGATTTATGAATTAAACAAGAAAAATGTAGAAAATGTCCATAAATACCAAACTTGAATAAAAGTAGTTTTTTATATTCATAAGCTAAATGCTTAACAGGTAAATAGTAAATGGCTGATCGCATCCTCTGAAATGGAAATTCTCTCCTAGTTAAGAATCCATGCTTCAGAAGCAAAAATTCATACATCCCTATGAGCGCAATCTGCACCCATTCTTCAGCATGTGTTTGTACCTTTTCTATATCCTAAGATAAATTCAATGGATGAACTAGAAGGGAAAGCGACAAGCTCGAAACAAGCAAAACAGGAAAGCGCGACTTATTTAGCAGACAACGTGGAAGAAAATAAAATGATTATGGTTTCCGAAAAAGTTTTGCTTTTAACTGAAATCTTGTTCGCTGATAGGCTGAAAGATATCTACAGTATGAGTATTATGTAAGGTCGTATGATATGGATTAAACTGAAATGGAACATTTGAAATAGCTATTAGAAGCAGTTACTATTTTTAGGATGGAAAGGGAAATGAGAATACTAGTAGAGCCTATTGCTATTTAAAATTAAAAGTTTGATGCACATATATTGTTTTATTTTACATGTGTATGCTCACCACACATTACAGCCTGTATTTGCGTCTCAGAAATAAATGCATTCATTCATGAAAGCAAAGAATTTTAAAACTGAGCAAGAAAGAGCGTTCAGATCTTCCAGGTACTGCCCAAGTGGGCAGCGATCATCAACAATGTTCGCTTAGCGTCAAAAAAAACTATTACGCTACCAGCGTATCACGGATTCTTAAGAGACTACTAAAATATTCTAAAGTATTCATTTATTAACTTAAGTAAAACAACACTTATGTAAATAATATGTCATTCTTCTTTAATAAGCCTAACTTAACTACAGAAACATATTTTCCTATTTCTATAATTATTTTGTTGTCACTTTTAAAACTAAACTAACAATAATTATTAGTGGCCAAACGACATTAAATAAAAAAAAATTAAAGGAAAATAAGTATAAAATACAAACTACATTTTTCATTTGAAATCCAACAAGCAGGTCACAGGGCTTACGAAGATTACGGCCCAAAACCATCTACTATTGAGAAAATCCAGTAATCTTACGAACGATACTGCTGTATTCTAGCAAGAATAATAGCCATGTTTATCTATATTAGTCCTGCTGGCTCAGGGATACAAATAGAGCGAAATGGCTTAATATTGATCGATTAAATTTTTCCACCATGCTTTCCAACTGTGGATGTAAAAGCGTGATCTGAATCCTTTCTCTACAAGATTTCTAAAAAAATCCTTTAAATGGCAGATGTGACGCTTTTTCCTTAATCACGGTGAAAACGAAGATGCACTCGAAATCAGGAAATCTAATTTTCCACTAGAGCTTCAGCGACGGTTAAAGCCTCCTGATCACGGATGGTATAAATGCAATGTGTTAAAGTAGACCATAGTAGTTAAAGTGTACTTGCAACCCTTAGTTTTACCCATATTTGTGCTTTTGGTTGTTCGAGAATGTCCAGAGCAATCCTTTCGAATAGTGCTTCTAATTGTATAGCTATAATCGTTTTTGTGACGTGTTTATGCACGACCTTCGAGAAACAAGGCCATCCAGCTTATCGGGACATCACCATGAAGAGTGCAAAGAAATCTTTGCCATTCGTTGGGAGCAAGTAATATTACTCTCTCCCAACGAAGAGAATACGCCATGGTCACATCATCAGAGTGTTGAGGGAATTATTTCTCGAAGGTCGCAGTTTCTAGCCCTCTCGAATTTCACACATATTTTGCCCTTCTCTACATAATCTTAGCATTGTCTCAGAGGAAAAGGTTCGTAAACTTCGTGAGTTGTGTTTTATTGAATTTTAAAATACGAATTGTCTTCCCCAATGGCAGACCAAAGAGATGGTACTTTCTCCCTAGACACTACCTTTATATGAGATACTTGTTTGAAATTAATCAATTTCTTGAGTTATTTAATAACTTCGGACGAATAGCAGAGAAAACCTTTTTAATTAACAACGAACTTATTTATTTAGCATTCTAAACATATCAAAAAGAATAGCATTCTATACGTCATCACGCTCAAAGTAATATATAACAAAACATCCCTGTTGCCACACAAAATCTACATTATAATGAACATATTAAATTATTGTGTATTAACTGAGTTCGTGTACGTTCCTGAACATCCTCCCACCTTGCAATTTTTGAAATTGAAACATATTCTCTACTCAGTTCAGAGATTCAGTCGATGAGGAACTTTTACTTGTCTTCCGACCCTAGTGGTTATGGGTCTGTCAATTGTAGGGGACTCAGTCAGAGGCTCAACAATCCTTGAGGTATCAATCTGACCATCCAGACCTGTTGGTAGTTGGGGGAACTTCTAAGATCCGCATCTTGACCTGGATTTAGCGAGACTTGAGGATGAGCTAGCTCTGAGGAACGAGTCACTTCTAAAGGATACGGGTTTTGGACGGGTCTTATTTTTCTCCGTCAGCCGTTTTTACTTTTGCCACTCTTACATGACCACTCTTACATGGAAATACTTGTACAACAAGTCCCAGTGGCCAGTTGATGCGCTTTTCCGGAGTTCCAGTCAGTACCACATCGCCCACCTGTAAAGTGTCTCCTTTTCGTTGTCTTCTATGGAACTAGCATGGCTAGGTACTCATTTCTGAAAACTCGAGAGTAAATTATTCCGAAGATTTTGTAAATACGCAAGCGACGATTTAAACTTTTGCTATCTATAGTATCCAGATCCTTTACATTATGGTGAGGGATTCCTTGCATAAAATATGCAGGTGTCAATGGCTTTTAACTCCGCAGTCTCGTCTTCTAAGTAAGTTAGGGGTCGTGAATTCATTGTTGCTTCACAGTCGCATAGTATAGTTTCCAGCTCAATGGTAATTGACTGAACCGTTTTAGAGCCCAAATAATGGAAAAAATTCGTCTTAAATTCGTCTTAAAAGTTCTTTTACCATCCGTACCAACCTCTCCTGAAATCCTCCCCACCAGGCAGCGGATGGAGGATTAAACTTCCATTTAATCTTCTCAATCGTTGAGAACTCCATTATTTTTTCCCAATCAAGTTCGTTTAGTGCATTATTCGTTCCTACAAAGTTGGTACCATTGTCAGTATATAAGATACTTATTCTACCCCTTCTTGCAATGAATCTTCGGAGTGCCATTATAAATGAATCTGCTGATAAAGATTTCGTCAATTCAAAGTGCACAGCACGATAGATCGCACAAGTAAAAATCACAATCCATGCTTTTTCGCCAGACAATACATACCATGGGCCAGCCAAATCGATGCCAGTGACCTCAAAATCTCCATATTTAATTCGGTCCTTTGGTAAGGGTGCAACTGGTGGTTGAACAGATTTGCCTTTGAATCTTTTACAAATAACACACTTTGAACAAATTCTCTTCACAAGACGTAAGCTTGGTACATAATGCCAGTCGTCCGGATTTGTGCATCTCCTTATTTCAGCTACACGATTGGCCACAAAAACACTCCAGTGGAAGTCTTTTTTATGCATGTCAGAACTACAGACAAGATCGCTCCAAAGGTACACTTGGTACTTTGCAATTTAAGAGCGTCAATGACTTGACGGTACAGCAGAGTAGCTTATAAGTGCTCCAAGCAACTCTAATCTGGGAATAGTTACTTCTTTGACAAGGTGCTACTCTTGATTTACAATAATACCAATTGTACTGAAGTTTTGTCCCTCAAAATATGCACGTAAGAAAATGCGTGCTGCATAAGATACCTTACTAGCATCACCAAAAGAATGTAGAGAGATAGAGCAGGTCATTCGAAGGGTCCAATCACAAGTCTTCTTGAAATTTTACTAATAATTCAAGAAGTGTATAGTCTTTTGAGCCAAGACTGAAATTCTCTTTCTATACCTTGTGGAAGATTTTCATCCCAGGTAAGTTTCATCTTCCATGTTTTTTGCAGAATGAGTTTTGGAAATTAACGTGGTTGGACTTGTAAATCCGATGGGATCGAATATCGTCTGTGAGACTGACAAAAGAGATCGTTTCGTGTGGACACTCTCCCGAAATGTCAAAGGGCTTAAATTGCAATAGATTTCATCATTTCTTGGTGTCCATGAGAGTCCCAGAATTGGAATGACCTTCTGATAGGAAGTCATGCTTCTATCTTTGAATGGTGCAGCAGTCCACCCTCTAAGGTCAAAACCTCCTGAAGACATTAGAGTTTGGGACTCTTCTTTGAACTTGACTACTTCTTCTTCGGTTTCGAAACCTAGCTATACAATTGTCGACATAAAAGGATTTTTCTTCAATCTAATGCCATTCCTCTTAAATCTTGTGGAGCATTTATCCAAATGTAAGAAATCGTTGCTCCCAACAGGAATGGACTCGAAGAAATGCCGAACAACGACACGACAGTGTCTGTAGGTAATAATCTCGGTTTGTTTGAATCTTTTCACCACAGGAATTCAAAAGTCTCTGTCTCTGACACACAAACTAACTGATTGTAAGAAAGCTTTCCTTATATCGGCGTATCGGCAGTACACCAATTGCATGTTGCAGGAATTGTATCAAAAGTTTTGGAAGCATTTCTATTAAATTCGGCCTTTTTTCGAGGCAAGCATTCAAGGAATTCCCATTTTCATCCTTCAATGATGCATCAAATACAGTTCGCACTTCGTAGTCAGACTGGAATCCTTGATTACTGCTTGATGAGATAAATAGTGACCAGTATCACTATTATTCGGAGCATTTCAATTATACCTCCTCGTGCCAGCCTTTAATAATACCATCATATTCTTCGAAAAATCCCATCTTCTGCAGTCTTCGTGTATTGGCGAAAAGTCTTTTTTCCGCTTTATCTTCAAGAATCCGATGACTATCCTTCCAAGGCAAACAGACTTCATAACTATTGCCTTCGATTACTTTAATGTTCTCTAGGAAAAATTTGGTCGTTTCATTGTCTAAATTCACCTTAGTCTTCACTTCCACCGGATCTTTTATGCCAATTGTCTCTAAATTCCATAGTTCTGTGAGATCCAACTAACAAAGTCCGACGGTACCAAGCAAGGTATTATGACTTTGCACTGGGCCTTGTAGGGTGCAACCCAATTTTGTTTCAATGGCAATAAGGTTTTTATCAATTGGAATGATATTATTCGTCATCAACTGTCCGGAATAGTCGGCTCCTATTAACAATCCGATATCTGGTATATCTCTTCCAGAATCACTTATTTTGATTTTATGTCTCGAAGTGAGGAACATATATGTTTGAGTTTCACTCTAGGAATGTATCACAAATTTTGTCTTATCTAAAACCGATAATTCGTATTTGAATTTATTTTCCGTTCCTGTATTTCGATATCAAAAATACCATGGACCTGATATTCAGTTTCAACTCCACCAAACAAATTGTGCTCAAAGTCTCTTGATCTTATGGGACTAAATCTAGTCTCTTATTATGTCTTTCCGTAAGTAAGATCTTTGTGACCCACTGTCAAAAAGCGTTCTCACAAGCTTCTTTTTTCCATTATGGACAATCTTCACATGATAATTTGGAAAAGAGTTGTTGCAGGTTTTTGGCTTAGACAATAAAGTCTCACTCGTTTCGTTTGCTATGCTTTAGGTGCTTCCTTTTAGAAACTTCCAGAACCTTTTAGTTATCTGCACATCACCGTTACATGATGTTTGTTGCAAAAATAAGGCATTTCGCACTGAACTTTTACACTTTTCGGCAGCATGGCCCAACTTTTAGGCAGTTAAAAACAAGCCATTTTTCTTTCCTTAGTAAATTTTTCTTATCTTCCAATGAAAGGCCTGTGCAGCTTAAAGCACTCATAGAAATTATGTGTTTCTTTGTCACACCAAACACAAAAATTAAACTGTTTATTTCCTTGAATCTCATGCATAAATGCAAGCTGCTGTGGCTGGAACAGAGTCAACTTTGTCTGGAGCAGAAAAACTTGTACGGGCCAAACTGAAGACGCTCTTCACTTTCAACTTCAATTCGAAAAAAAAATGCAATAAATTTTCCAAATTTTCAGTGTGTGCAACACTTTTCCTAAGCTGGCGAGATCGCTCCCATGCCCTCAGAATTTCTTCAGATAGTGAAGACTCTACAAGAGGGATACAGCATAGCTGCATAAATCTTCACTTTTTGCTCCCAACGTCTTTCAAAGCTCTGAGTTGCGTCCCTAACTTATCATATAAGTTGGGATAGAGTCATATTTCCTTTTTTGCCAGCTTGAACCAAAACCAACTTTAATAATTCGCGAACATAAAGATTTCAACCAGTAATTTTTAGTCTTGTGAAAAATCGAGATTTCAGCTGCTTGGTAGCTTCTTTATAACTCGCGCCAGAGGGAGGATAACTATCTATGAGCTCTGTCGATGGAGATCCAACAACCGTTGCCTGCAATAGGTATTGAAATTTGTCATCGTCATCTATATTTACATCTTCGTCGATCTTCTTAAACTGTCCCCAAAATCCTAACCAATTTCGGGTCTCCCCATTGGATTTTTGAAGCTCCAACTTTCGTAATTTAAAGTTCCTTTTCGTGGAATTTTCTAAAATTCCAGGTGTATTTACAAGAGTGGAATTCACCATTTTGTTTTCTACTTTTGTTTTTAAACTGATATAGTTATCACGATATGTTTCATTCGTGTCAAAATCAGCTAAATATTCACTTTCGTTTTGATCTTCCAATAAAATTTGATTCGGGACATTTGTGACTGAACTTCATCTAATCTGTTGAATTTTCCTTCCAACTGTAAGCTCAATACTTGGAGTTGATTAACTTCCACGTCGGGCTTTAGAATTTCAGCATCTAAAGCATTGGCAGTAATCGTAAACGATTGCCTTAGTGGCTTACGCTTTTTTAATAAAATTTCCATGATTTTAAATTCAATATGCCCAATATATTCAAATATTTTTTTTTTTTTTTTTTTTTTTGTTTTTTTTTTTTTTTTTTTTTTTTTTTTTTTTTTTTTTTTTTTTTTTTTTTTTTTTTTTTTTTTTTTTTTTTTTTTTTTTTTTTTTTTTTTTTTTTTTTTTTCTTTTATAATCAAATAAATCATAAACTCACTTGATAAATTCCAATACGAAATCACTGTTCTTTCCAAACCGTTCTTTCGTTTTCTTCAAATAGCCATTCCGTACTGTCAAAGGACGCCAGATGTTTGAAATTAATCAATTTCTTGACTTATTTAATAACTTCGGACGTATATAATTATATAATTTAGCTAATATATTTAGCAGAGAAAAACATTTTAATTAACAACGGACTTGTTTATTTAGCATTCTAAACATATCAAAAAGAATAACATTCCATGCGTTATCACGCTCAAAGTAATATATAACAAAACATCACTGTTGCCACAAAAAATCTACATTATAATGAACATATTAAATTATTGTGTATTAACTGAGTTCGTGCACGTTCCTGAACAATACTGGTTCACAGTTGCAAACTTGAATATCTTCTGAGTTACATGACAAACAATTATTACCATGGAATAACAATGTTTTATACTCCATGATCGTAATAACTTTGACGATGCTATGCTTATAAATTACTGAAATTGAATACTTCTTTTATAATAAACCTGTATTTCATCTTACAGAAAACTCTTTATATTGATCAGTGCCTGATACAACAGCATTGGTCATTAATAACTTCATTTTGCTTTTCGCGGATTTCTCCATTTTATTTTGCTTCTCCTAGCTTTTATGTGCTCTGAAAGAGCTTTGTAAAGCTTTATGTGTTTGGAAAGCTTTGTAAAGAAGGCTTTTCTGACGGTAGCTACTGATAGGAAATCCTTTCAACGGTCAGAAATCTCTATAACACGATTTTCTTTTGGTCTGTGTTACAAGCTGCGTGAATGTGGCGTGACTGTGTCAACCGTGAGAACTAAAAAATAGGAAAGGGGCGTTTGCATGTTTTGAGTTTTGGGTAACTCGTTATCTAATTCATTGTTTTGTTATCCCTTTTCAAATCAGTAAAATGATTCGCTTTATATTAATTCAAAATAGGGCTGGCAAAACCCGTTTAGCCAAGTGGTATATGAATTTTGATGACGACGAGAAACAAAAATTAATTGAAGAAGTTCATGCTGTTGTTACTGTTAGAGATGCGAAACACACAAATTTTGTTGAATTTCGTAACTTTAAAATTGTGTATCGACGTTATGCTGGATTGTACTTCTGTATTTGTGTTGATGTAGGTGATAACAACCTCGCCTATTTGGAAGCTATTCATAATTTTGTTGAAGTATTGAATGAGTACTTTCACAATGTATGCGAATTGGATTTGGTTTTCAACTTCTACAAAGTCTACAGCGTTGTGGATGAAATGTTTTTGGCCGGCGAAATTAGAGAGACGAGTCAGACGAAGGTGTTAAAACAACTTCTAGTGTACAATTCTCTGGAATGACGTGTTCTGCTGGAATTGAAATACTTAGCAAGTCTCGGTGTTTATGTGTGTCAATGTAATATGTAGAGAACGGGAAAATTGTTGTTTCGAAACTTTATTCTTTAAATATTTATTTATAGCATTATCCAAAGTTATGTGATAAAATATGCATTTTTCTTAACGAATTTTACGTTTTATAACGACTGTTTTCATATGTTCGAAGTCAAAATTTAGGCTTAGATGAATGGTTCATTTTTTTTCTGTGAAAATCTCAAATAAATTGAAATGTTTTCACTTGTAAGTTGAAAATTTGCAAATGTATTGTTGATATATGCTTGTTTAACAAAGGCTCTGTAAATACCTCAACACTAAATAATGTCATGCTTAACCAGAAAAATCCATGTAGCTATTTCCGAATAATTACAGTGTCTTACCTATGGTAAAAATATTTGACAATTTTGTACAGTAAAGAAAATGTGGATTCATGCTTATATTTGTTTTGTATCAAAAGTTACAGATATTAAAGTTAATACTAGTATGTAGTGTATATTAAATGTGTGAAATATCAATAATAAATGCATTCCAAGATATGTATATCTCATCTGTTCCTAATTATTCGAATTTTTTAATTAACTACTCCATACTTTCGGGTTTAACAAATTTCTTTCCAGCTCATATAAAAATATATCTGAATCTGATAATTAGCTTCAAGTATAGTTGGGTGCTCTGTATAAATGCATACATCACACATAAATATGGTTTGTAGGATATTTAACATTACGAAAAAGTATAGTTGATACTAGTAACAGCAGTTCTCTATTGTAACTGGTATAGAAAAAAAAAGGGGGGTGAAGTGCAAAATCACTCACTTTATCCCACTTATTTGGCTCTTTTTACAAGAGTAAGAAGAATTGGATTTTTGTCAATTTCCTTTGATTTTTTAAGTAAAAATACATTGATGTGTACATGGACAATATCAAGGGAGTGCTCATTGGTGAATTTGTGCAATTCTCTGAAGTTTTTTTAAGTGAAAATAGGCCGATGGATATTGAGTTTGTGCAGTTTTTGCGCCAAGCAGTTGGTGATTCTGCGCTTTCTCCAAAAAGCGTATATTAAACGTGTGAAAAATTATCTAATGTAATAATATGGGGATGTTTCCGTAACCGGCACTTAGCGAAATTTCGGATCTGTTTACATCGGAAGAGAGCGTATGTGCACCAGAATATGGCAACCCTGATAATTGTTGCAACCCACACAGGGAATTTTCCTGAAGGAGAAAAAGGGAAATTTTCTGTTTACTTTTCGAACATTACGGTAAGAGAAAATAAAGTTTGAAAATCACAAATCATTATTAGTTCATATTTTCACAAAACGTGTATGGGGAGTTAATTGAAAAAATAAAACTTTATTCTGAGTTGATTAGAGTATGTAAGAAATTACTTACAGACCTGCTAACCAATCATGAAATTTAAAGGGCTTATACAAATTCTTTCTAATTTGTCTTTCTAATCTGCAAGCTTTTTTGTCCAAATTTGTGGCAATTTGCCCAGAACGACTGTTAATTTCATTTGGATTGAAAACTAAATGTCATTTCACTTCTCAGATTGTTGACACCAAGTATTGGAGGGCTGTATTATATTTAAAGAAATTAAATAATGAAAAATCTGCATAAATGCATGCATGTTTCTCGTATTGTGATAAAACAACGGTACCTAGAGCCATCACATTTTAAATAGTGTACGCTTCCAAGCAAATATGGGCATCTGGAAGCCCAAATGTGGAATTTGTTTTATTATCTATTTCATATTTTGTAAAATTTTAAGGAATTTTTATTAACGATTTCAAAGCGAGCAATGGCAACATTGTACAGAATAAAAACACTTTTTTATCTTCAGCGCACGAGACTGTGTAGGAAATTCTAAAGATATGCTCATTTTAAAATTATTTTGTGATATTGTTGTTGAACTGAATTTTGTGGTTTAAGTGCAAAGGGCATGACATTTAATAAATAAAGGTAACACCCAAAACGTAAAAAAAAAAAAAAGCTGACAGACATTGCATGTATTTGAGAGAAAAAAATTGCTTTATCTTGCAACCGCTGAAGGGGTTAATATCATAAGAAGAAATTAAGTCTATTTAAGAAAATTTATGTAAAAACATTATCACACTTAAAACCTCGTAAATTGACTGATGTGAAAGAAGAAAATAATGTGTAGTAACTTCTGCCATAAATTTTGCCACATAATTAAATTTATTATTTTATGTAATATCTGTGACTTTTTGATTTTTCATTTCATTTTTTTATATACATAATTTTCAGTATTGTTAGCCTAGAACGGCTATTAGGTTCAGAATGCCATTTTAGGTCGAATCACTTTTCAAATTGTTACCACCAAATATTATTTTGCCAGGGACGTAGCTAGAGGGGGGCATCTGTCCCCGTGCGCAGAATCGAAGGAGCGAAAAACTGATGTTACAACATTTTAGAATTAAATGTTTTCCATCCTTGGCAAGCAGTAGGGGGTGCTGAAAACCCTAGCTACAACTCTGATTATTGCCCTGTATAACTGTTTAAGAGTAACTATTTAACTGTTTTCACTGTTTTAAAGAAACTAAATAATGAAAAATCTACATAAATGTATGTATATTTCTCGCATTATGAAAAAACAATGGCACTTAGAGTAATCAGAATTTTGAATAAATTAGTCCTCCACCTGAACATGGGCTTCTGGAAGCTCGAATTTGGAATTTGTTTTATTGTCTATTTCACTATTTCATGTGTTGTAAACCTTTAATGAATTTTTATTTAACAATTATTTGAAACCTGACAGGAGCAACACTTCCCGAAATAAAGGCGAAGATATACGTGAGTATATATTGGGACGTTTTGAAATTTGGCGTATTTGTTGAAAGTGATAAAACATCAAATGTGGTTTAGACACTTTATTAAAATTATTTGAAAGTAGGAACGGAGTGACATTTTCCCCCGATCACGGACAATGGAAAATTGTAGGAATTAGTTGCCTTTTTTCCCACTCCGGCATAATGGAAGGGAATATTTCCATGTTTTTTAAATCATTAAATGATTTTTCAGAATTAAATTTAACATTTATTGGACTTTTGTACTCCAAAATTCCTAATCTGTGGTAGGTACGTTACTCATATTTTGGACAATATAGTTTTACCAGCAAGTAAAGTTAATACAACACAATTTTATAAAGCAGATGCAAATCTTTTTTTATATACCTTCAAGTGAATAAACATGGTAATTATGAAGATTAGTACTAAAAAAATCTTTCATTATTTGATTGGTAATATCTTTGGAGCTAAAGCTGACTTTTTAAGGAAAGATGATTCATTAATGTTCATAAACATTCACGAGGGTAAAATAAATCCTCTCATTAATAAAAATTTTTAAATAATTGTAGTTCTGCTGCATTTATATTTTCTTGAAAAATCCCCTGAAATATAATGAGATTGGAATACTGAATGTAACTAGTAATGATTTAAGTGCGGAACTGATAATTTTAAGAGTAACTTATACATTGGATACTGAAGTTCATCTGTTAAAATCATTTTGGTAGTAAAATGTTATTTCTAAATCTTTCATCAAGTGTTATATTTAAATCCTTATGTTCATTGTGATTCTGTTTAAGATTTTTTTACTAGTGTTATTAGTCGAATTGTGCTAACCTATTTTACATAAATGCTGTTGTATTTCAAAGCAGGTAATAAGAGCAAAACAGTTTTGGATTAGTATCAGTAATAAAAATAGGTTGTAGAAATAAGTGTTAAAAGTAGCTACTTATTTCATACATATATATGTAGATCATATGAGCAGAAATGTGATTAATACAAATGTGAATTCACATCCAAAAGTGATTGCCATATATTTTTGTCATAAATGCACGTTACTGGACTATACAGGTTTCGTACACATTTCTGCACATGGAAATTATGTACTTTTAAGGACCATTAATGAAAAAAATTAAAGACCTATTAGCAAATGGGAACTGAATAACTTCAATTAAAAATATTATCTATGTGTAAATTTCACTTTTGTAATACCATCCTTAAAATAAAATAGATCTCTAAGTAGTATGCATTATTACTAAACATGAATTTAATTAACATAATTTTAATAGTTTGAGAATAAAAATAAACTTACTAAGCAATTTATCAAGGTAGCATTAAATATTTTACTCTTGTAATAGTTGGACATATTTGAAGGAAATGATATTTTATTTTCATTTTACTAACAGCTTTATGCTGATTTTTTTCTTTTATGTCTCATTTTATCACGTACTTGCTCTTTAGAGATTTAGTAAATAGCAGGTTGAATTTTATGCCAAATGGCATAGGTTAAAATGAGAAGTAAGAATCATAATCAGTACATGATTCGTTACAGAAGACTGGCTGTTGATCACCGCTGCTGCTTGTCCTAAAGAGAGACCCGCTGACCAGAATAAACCTGAAAGGCCTGATATAAGCACGGCTGGCAAGTTTTGAAATTTAGTTGTGCTCTGCCTATCTGACGCAGTTAGTGTCATAACTTCGTGCAAAGCTTCATGGGGTTGTAATCCAGTTAATATAATTTAAGGTTCCAATAAGCCCCTAAAGCACCACAGGTTGCTAAGTTGTTTTGCATTTTTAAGTCTCACTAGATGCAAAGAATAAAGTTTTACATTATTTTTTACATTTTTGTATTTTATCTTGTTGCCACAATGAGTATTAGTGAAAAGCAATAACTCGCTTTAATATGCAGAGATAATTTTTAGTTATAAGTTATTAAATTAGGTATAAGATAACCTTAGTCATTATAGATTTACATGCCCACTATTATATTTTATTTATTTTTTTAACAATATTTGTTTAAAAAAGGCCCTATTAAAATCCCAATCTAATAAAATTTAACAGTTAACAATAACACAATACATGTAATTTATGACATTGATTATTAAATGATATTAGGATAAATTGATTAATAAATGATATTAGGATAATTACACATTAAAAGCTACAAAACATTTATGTTTTGTAACAAAACCAAATATTTATGCATCATTTTAATTTGAAGCCTTCCCTAACATTTTGGCTAGTTTATATTGCTTTCCTTTTCTTGAGCTTATTCTTTCTTATTGCTTTCCTTTTCTTCTTTTCTAATAATTAGAGATTCGTCTCAATATACAAAGCAATGCTCTCGCTAGTTTCTGCGTGCTTTATCTCATAACTTGTCAACCTCTCCACAATGTACCTATGAGGGTTTACTTGATCTGGTAAAAGTTAAATAATCCAAAACCCCCAACAGACATGAAGCATATTATCGCTATGTCTGTAAGTAACTACAATATCAGACAAAGATTTAAATAAGCCTCTTATTTAAAAAGAACTTGGAACATAAAGGCATGTTCTGATGCTAACAAAATCAATTACATCTCAGAGTGACGTAATTAAACAAGAACAGTCAAATTCAAACTAAAAATGTGGAGTAGTGGTCAAAGATTATACAATTTAATTTAATCTGGCTCAGTAACTCTATCATATGACATATAAATGGGAAATTACAGTAAAAGCTGAAATCATAAAGAATTGGGTAATTTATGTAATAATAACTGCAAATATCTTTGAAGAATAAGTTTCTTTATGTATTCAGTTTCTTTCTTCAACATTTCATTTTAGAGTTTTTGGATTTAAATAAGGATTTCTGTTATTCTAAAAAATACACTAAATGCATTTAGAATGTATAGAAAAAGTGAGTAATTTTATTTCTTTAGTAATATGAACATTTAGAAGAAATTTGAAATATATATGGTAAAGGCCAGTTACAGAGCTGATGCGGCAGAATTTTTAGAATTTAGAGCAGACACTAGAAGCAGAATTTAGAAAGGCACTTAGGCAGCAGAATTTAGGATCTACAGAGATTGCATTAGGTAGAAAAATGCCTATGTGTATGATGCATTAAGACATATTAGATGAATCTTTTAAATTGCAAGTTTTCAATTTCTTTATTGATAGAAAAATCCTTTTCTATAATTGCCTGCCCATGTGATAAGATTAGAAACATTTTTGATATTTTCCATGCTTGAGTGTAGTGAAAAGTAGAGAAGATAAACAGGTTAAGATTCTAATATCAGGAAGTAAAACATTCAAATATTATGTTTTCATTGTTCTTCCAGACGTTCTCCAAAAAGTAAGAAATTCATTGCAAACTTTCTGTAAATACATCCATTATGTGTTGATAACATGGAGACACTTTTCATTTTGTCACATATTTCTCGAATCTTCTAGAATCATGGATCTATAAATCTTTCCTTAGAAACCTTCCAAGTTGTAATGTCTAAAATTCTAAAGAAAAATTATCCCTACCAATTGTGTAATAGCAAAAAACCAGAAATATTTTGGAAAAAAAAAAGGCGGGAAGAAGTGTAAAATTAATTTTATAGCGAAAACTGATGCATATTCTGAGAATTTTGAATATTCTGAGACAATTACATGGGAAAAACTCTTACTATGAAAAAATTAAAAAGAAGACATCTTTAATTAATTACACAGCTAATTTTGCTTTTGCTAAGAGCTGTTTCATAAAGTGTGCTTTAGAACATTATATCTTGTTTATTTTTCAGATTCAAAGTATTGTATAATAAGTTGCCGAAATAAAACTTTATGACAGCAAAAAATAAAAATTTTATTTTAAAGTTATTTTTTAAATATAATTTCAACATATTTATCAATGTTACGATGTTTTAAAAAAAAATCGTTGAGAAATTCTCGGAATTAAAAATTTTCTATAAAAACTTATCTTAAAATTGCCAATATGTTGATATGTCGCCAAATTTAGTACTGTTTAATAAAAGAATTCACATTGCCAAAAGCGAAAAGTTGTTTAAAAGCTCTTTATTAGAAAAAAAAAAAGAATTTTGAAATGCTTATGTTTTACTTCTTGCTAAGAAACTCAAGTATCTCATCATTTATATTAGAAATAGAAACAAATTATAACCCATTCAAAAGATAACCATATAAGTCAGTGAATCACCAAAAATATTCCTCCAAACTGCTAATTCACACTTAAAATGGCAGTCTTAAAAACAGACAGAAATTTCAGATGATTAAAATTAAGAACCTTATGCCAAGTTTGGCCAAAATTAAGAACCAAAATATCTATTCCAAAAAAAAAATCCAAGGACTTTTAAGGACCATATGAACCCTGTAATTAATACTAATTTAGCTAGAGTTTTATCATTGAATTAAAAGATAATAAATGATATATGCGTAACAAGTGTTTACTAAATATTTTTTATTGTTGGGAGAGGTCCACATAAAGATCTTTTACAAAGTAGGCCCTCCAACACCCAGTTTGTTTTCATAAATAAGAAGAAAGATTATCAGGGTCTATAGGGGGAAATTTTCATAATTTAGTTGCTTTTTTGAATATTTTTGCAGTTGGGAGTATTATTTTCCCCTAGGAGCAAAACTGGCTTTTTTTATGGCTTGGTCTTTAGGGCCAAGCCGTAAGTTCTCATTTTCTGTAGCAATAGTCCTCAGTCTGTTTTATCCACGAATTTTCAGAATTGAAGAAACAAACCAATACCATTTATAAATGCAAAAACTATTTTCAGCTCTTCATTTTCTCTACTGTTATGAAATATACACAAATAAAATACCTTCCATTCTAAATACCAAGTGCCTCAATATATTTAAATTAAAAAACTTTTTTTTCAATGGCGAGCACTAGCCTATGCCAGCATCGGCCACTCTTAAGACCAGATGTATCTTTATTATGGAGGCACCCAATAGATGGGCTACCGTTACCTTCTGTGAAGGGATAGACAATTTTACATCTATGCATTCTCCGGGATTTGAATCCGGGTCCTTCAGTATCAGAGTCGGGCTCTCCTAACCAACATACCATCTGGATGGCTTCAAATGAATGAATAATTTTATTATGAATTTGCAAAAAAAAAAAAAAATCATAATGAGCAGTTTTTGTTCAATGCCACATATTATTTTACTATAAATGCAAAAAACAACATATATTTCATTTTAATACTTCATATAGAATTAGTCTTATTAAATATGTATATAATTCAAAATTAAACAGGTACATGTAGCTCAGTTAATCTTTGATTAAATTCCAAGTGCATAAGGAATATAAATACATTTTTAAAGGAAATGCCTTTGCATAATACTCTGAGCAGCGCAGAGAATTGAGGTCACAGATGACCAAGTAGATTAAACCAACAAATGCTGGTAGTTGCACGAGACTTTCCTTCTACAAAATAAACTTTAGTCAGTTTCTTTAGAAAATTCTTTATGCAAATATATCCTCTAAGAAATGTTACAGAGTGCTTTGCTGTTATTTGTTAATTGTAACATGTGTTAACCGTTTCTAAATGCCTTTTGAGAGAACGAGGCTTGCATTTACTTCAGAAATGGAAAAAAAAAAAAAAAAAACCTTTGATCCATTCCATTTATTAGGTGAGGATTTGAACCTAAAGCTCCCACTTGTTGTACTCCTTTGGGTATTACATCAACAGAAAAAAAAAAATCAGCTACTAAATGAAATCTGCTGCTAGAATATTACCTTGTTATAAAAATCTACAGCTATAGTAAAACTTATGTCATAATTTAAAACTATTGTAACATTCATTCTAATGTTCCCCCTAAAAGTGTAATTAATCTTGAATTAATGAAAAATAATTGGACTTAATGGCCAATTGAATACTAAGGTTTATTTGCCATTGGCAGAAGGGAATGGTTGCATGGACATTTTCATGTTTTCTTTACACGAAACAATAAAAACCGCCTTCTTGTAAAATGTCTATATAAATGTATTTTTCATTAGATAATAGAAAGCTTAAAAAAGCCATGTTTATATTATCCCTTTTCAGTTCTTCACATTCTTCCCAATCTTCAATATTTGATATAAAAACAAATTTCACTTCTAAATATACCTAAAAAACAACTTCAATTTTGAAGGAATAAATATATCTTTTAAGATGACATTTTTCTACATTTATTGCATTACTTTGAATCCAATTTAATTCATTTATAAAGTGAATCACATTTACAGGACAAATAAAACTTATTTTAAAAAATGATTTTTTTAATGACAGAATTACATATAGTAAAATGCTCATTTGTTCATCAAATTTAAATACTTATTATGTATATGTGGAGCATTGCTAAATTTCATAAGAAAGAATGGATAACACAAAATCATAAATGTCATTTTTATTAGGTAAATATCCTTACTTAAAGAGGCAACATTTTTTTAATAATTAAAAATTGATTTAGATATTTTATTTGAATTCTGGTCATTCTGTGTACATGATGGATAAGTTTTGAAGAAGGAAATAATACAGTTTTCTAATATATAATACATGTCACTAATATCACAGTATGTAAATACATTTCAATAAATGCAGATTTTACTTGAAGAATATTCATTATTTGTACATTTCACTAAATGTGTCATATAATTCTCTTAACTAAAGTACAATTTTATGTGCAATATAAAGAAATTCTAAGTTTCAATAGCATGGTACATAGCATTCTTAAAAAATAGTTACTTATTTTGAATGTCTAATAAATTAAATAGGATGCAGGAAAGACAATAAACAGCACATATGATGCATTTCAGTAAATAGTTTTGTCAAAAACTGAATGCAGTGGTACCTCGGTATATGCTCACTTTAGAATAAGTCCAACTTGGGATACTTGTTTGGATGTGAAATTTTTTGTTTAAAAAATGATTCAGATTTGATTAGTCATACACTCCTCTTGTTTAGCTCTATCGAAACAATGCTAAAATCAGTTTTGCACAAAAATACAATAATAAATGTACAGCTACCTCTGGGATTAATGATGTATACCGAAGTACCGCTGCAGGTACTTCCATCATTTATGTTATTAAAAAATTCAATGAAAGACTAAAAACATTAAAAGTATATCATTTACACTTGTCTTAATAAAACAGAGTATAATATATATATTAAAAACTACTTATCAATCAAGAAACCAGTTTCGATCCTTGCATTATTATTTCATTAACAGTATCAAATAATCAATTTTTCCCGGTTTCCATTTTAGCATTTTTATTTTAATTTAAAATGATAAAATAAGAGTATTGAAATTTAATATAAATGCTTTTACCGTATTTCAGACCTATGACTACACAGCTTCTGAAAAATTTAATGCAGTATAAAACAATTCTGAGCTAATGTGCAGGATGTCCCATTAAGACCAATTAATTTCTTCAAGGCCAGATGCCTTGCTTGAAATACATAAAAAAAATGCCTAAAGAGCTGTACCTGTATGGCCCATAGTTTTTGAGATAAATACAAAAAAAAAAAAAAAAAGTATGAATATCTGGTGCAAAGGGAACAAAGTTTTATTGGAAACATGAACGTTAGTATTTACACAGACATTTTAGACATCTTCCTCTCTATACCGATACCGATGTTTGTGTGTCCTAAAGTTTTTTTTTTTTTTCATGCATCGGATATAATGTCAAACTTTTCTTTTGTACAGTTACTGTTTTTTAGCCTTTTTTATGTATTCCAATCAAGAAATCTGGTGGTGCAGAGTTAGAAACTAAATAGTAAGACATCTGGTGGTTATATTATAGAGTTTTGGGTTTAAAGGGACATCCTGTTGATGCTTTGAAAGAATTAATAATTTCACTCTAAATAAAATTAAATTCATTTTTTTCTGATATTCTAAAAAATGTTCCATAATATGCCCATTATATTCTATATATAATGTTGCAACTATGGTATACTAACATTTATATAACTTTCAAGTGGTTTCTGGATTGTTTGTTCCATCATACATTGAAAAATACTTGGTATATAAATTTTGCACATATTTTTTGTACCCACCACATTTGTATAATATATTTTATAGACTTTGTTCATGGATTGAAGTGCAAAGATACAAAAAATTAAAACTTCTTAATTTGTTTAGTTTATACTTATATCTGGATTTCTAATACATCTGAAATTTCTGGAAAACAAGTAATATAAAAAAAAATTAAGATCAATTCCTACTTAGGTCAACAAAGAAAAATTTTTAAAATACAAAAAAAATTAATATGTGAAAAAACTGTATTAACATCAAGTGTCATCCACTAGAAATTTTTAAAAATGTATTTGAACTTGATTGGTTGAATAAAAAGTATTTTATTAACGATCAAAAATTTGAACATATTGGGAGAGAATGTGAGCTAATAAATAGTAGGAATTTAATAAAATGCCAAAAGTTCTGAAAGCTAGATTTTATTGATTATATAAAAAAAATTAAATATTGGCACCTTTCAGTACAATGAGTAACATTAAGAATCTTTTATTATAACAAATTAAACAAAAAATCCTTCATTCAAATTTCAAATAAAATCATCTCATAATGTTTGAAAATTATTTTCACGTTTTTATGAATGTTCAACAGGAAATACAGGGTCAATGCCATCTGCTTATTTTAATTATAATAAAGCATGCGTGTTTTTCATGCACAAATATCATAATTTAATGAAGAAACGTGATTTTGAAGATTTTTTTTTATCTTGAATACTAAATATACATTTCTGCCTTTCTTCATAAAATATGATTACTACTAAGACATTTTATTTTTAGTCCTTGGTTTAAAATATGATCAATATGGTCATTATACCTTAAACATTATTTAAAATAATGTTATCTTAAACAAAAAGGTTGATTCCTAAGCTTTTCTTTAATTACAGTGCCAAAAATATTTAAACAGACTGAAAATATCACAATGTTCACAGAATAATGTTAAAAGAAGTATAAAATGTCCTACATCACTAAAAATCAATGTGAAAAAAAGCATATGAATAATAAGCAAAAAAGGGGGAGAGCATTATTATTTGACATAATGCTATAAAAATATTAGGAACAATCATTTTTCATAGATATGAATTTCAAATTCATAGTATTTATTATAATTTTTTTCACTTTGTTAATACACACCACATGTGTAATACATTTCAAATATTTAATACTAGTATATATTACACATGCAAATACAGATTAAATATGAAAATTATTATCAAATTTTACGATTAGAAAGCATTTAAATACATTTATTCCCTTGCAATTTAAATTATTAAAATTCATAAAAAAATCTTTAAAATATCCAATTATAATCAATCAGCCAAGTTTTGATTTTTATAGCTTCAATCAATTAAAAATTATGGATTTTACAATTTAAGGAAGCATAAATAAATTATATTACAATTTTATAACACAAGCAATTTGTTTAACACTTGTGTTTATTCAATATAATAAACAATTTAACTAAATGCATAGTGAAGACAGTTACTTTAAAAATACTTGTATTTATCAATGAAGAAAACAAAACATTTTTGACATGTATATTACATATTCTGAAAGACAAACTTTAAATATATTTTGCCTATTATGTAAATATCATACATAATAAGTTCCATAAAATGTATTATTATTTTTTGAACACACAAAACATCTCAACATTATCAATGAATATACTTTGAAATTCAAACATATTCACCAAAAAAAGTGTTTTGAATGTTCTTTAGTATAAATATGTTCGAAGTGTCAATATGTGCCTTAATAAATAAAAATAATTATTCAAATTTTATTTATGTATTTTTAAATACTTACATTAATTGGAAACTATTTAAAATACACAACTCATACATTTTAAAAACATGATTTCTATTTATTTTTAATTCAAGCATTAAAAAAATTGCTTCCCTCTATTTTTTGGTAAAACCATATGATTGATCATGAGTAATGAAAACAATCTTTTCATAGCATGAGTTGCCATAATGCATCAATAAATCAGTTAAAGGAAAGGCCAAATAAGACTCTCATTCAGCCTTAACTTTACACTGTGAATATTTATTTTAACAACAAAGTTTATTCTAACAGCAGAACTCAAGATCCAAGCTCTTCTGTAACTTTGTTGAGCAACGCATCACAAGTTTTCTTAGCATCACCAAGTAACATTGCAGTATTTTCTTTGTAGAAAATTGGATTATCTACAGCAGCATATCCAACTCCTAAACTTCTCTTCATTACAATAACCTAAAGAAAAAATTTGAAATAAAAAAAAATATGTAGGAAAAACACATAATAACAATCCGTCATTTAGATTACAGCAATATATTGCAAGAAATTTTTTAAAAATTCATTACTGTTATTAACGAAGAAAATTTATTGCTAAAATATGTTCAAAATTGTGAAATCATGGTACTTCTATAAAAAGGTATAAAATACATCTAATGGCAAAAATTCTTAATTACCCTAAATGAATAAATAATTATACAAATTAAAAATTTAATAGTTATACAAGGAGGCACATAAATGAATCATAATCTCCATACTTCAAATCTCATAAATAAAAAATTAAAATGGAATGAAGCATGGTATACTTCATAATGACAAGATAATGAAGTATAAAAATAGGAAACACAAATTTTATTATGCATTGAAAAAAAAGTTCCCAAAGCATAATTTCTGTTTTTTGCAGTAAAAACCTGAATACAAAAATATGGATTTATGGTCACTTTTCACACCCACATTAAAAAAGGGGAGATGCAAACTTCAGAGGTGCTAATCCCTTTCTCAGGTAAAAATAATTTTTAAATGATAAAAATATACAGAGAGATATTATTGTTTTTAATATAATGACCTAATTTTAAATAGTAAATTTTACAAAAGCAGTCACTTATTCTTAAATGAAATGAGCACACTTTCATATAAAAAAAACATAATTATTTGTAATTTTTTAAAATTTTAACATGTTGACACCCATGGGGTCCGCCAGGGACCGGCAATACGACCAACTGTAAAAGTACATAATTAGAGTAAATATCGATGCTGACAAATTTTTAAATACCATTCATTGTTACTATTATGGCTTGAATAATAATAAATTGCAAAAATGGTCTACGGCACCTCGGGAGGGGAAAGGGTCACCGGCGACCCTCACCACAAAACATGTAATAAACACGATTATATAACTCACCTTTTCTTATAAATAATATTTCAACATAATATACAATACATAATAAAAAAATTTATGTTAGCACCATGGGCAAACCACGTAAAATACACATAGCAATAAATGTGTTAATAAATTTTTGTACAACAGTGGCAAATTTTGAGCTTTCTTTAAAAAGCAAGCACCATAATTTTGAACATATATAATTTAAACACACATAATCTTATTTCCACCAAAATCTGTGTTTGTAAATTTTTGTGAACAAAGACAAATGCTTTTTGTTTACACATATCAGTCTTTTCACCAAATCAAAAAATAATAGTGACAAATGGTATACATCTCAAATGTATTACATGAAACAGTACAAGAAAAATGAGCACAAACAGTACTTCAATGAAACAGTACAAGAAAAATTAAATTAAATGCAATTTTTAAAACAGTTATTTTATTTATTTATTTTCCATGCACAATTAAGGCAAAGGATCACAAATTCTTTAAATATTTCTCAAAATACACAAAACCATTAGTCATAAGATAATGGCATTAATAGCCTTGATTTTATTTTGTATTCTTTGACTAATATATGCCAAATGATTATCAACAGAAGTTTGATGTTTTCAGACATATCTGCTCTCATATGCATAATAGTAGAATGCCATGTTATATTATTGAAATTACTTTGATATTCTTTTATAAGCAATCCAGAAAAAATTAAGCCTTTTAAAATACTACGAATCATACTTTTATGTGTAAATAATGAAATATTAACCATCAGTGCAGTATAGCTCTGAACTACTGATGAAAAGCTGTGTTTAAATAGTATTTATTAATTCAATTTGCATAATTACTTATCATTTTCATAACCTTTTATTCTTTAGAATAATATTTAAATCTTTAAAGAATATTTAAAAAAAAAAAGTATTTTACATAACAAATTTGGTATATATTAAATAACAGAAAATCTTATTAAGAAAGAAGTCATGCTGCTCAATGGGTTAAACCAAGATACATAAAAATCATAAGAAATTTTAAACTAAACAAGAAATCAGAAGAATCAAACTAGCAGGAGTACAGTTGAAAATCAGTAATCACCTAAACTGGGGCAGCTAAATCACTGAAAGTTAAGCCATATTTTCTATAAGGCTGCCCAAAGAATTGAGGAGATAAAAAGTTTCACGCCTGAAGTAAAGCTATTTTTAACTCCAGAATAGCATTTGGTGAAAGCTGACAAAAATGTAACTCTCTACCCTAACAAACCTTACTAATACTTAATGAGATTCATATCAAAAGACTTGACTGGCAACTCCATTTAATGGCTATTTTCAAAATATTAAAAATAATAAATAAATAATTAATTAATTAAAGTCGATTCCTACTTAGGTCAACAAAGAAAATTTTAATTGACTTTAATATGTAAAAAAAAAACATCAAGTGTCATCCACTATAAAATTTAAAAAATATGTATTTGAACTTTAGTGGATGAATAAAAAATATTTTATTAACAATTGAAAATTTGACCAAGATATAGGAAGAGTGTGAGCTAATAGTAGAAATTTAAAAATACATATCCATGAGTATAAAATGTGAGCTACTGCACATTTAAATAAATAAATAAATAAAAAGAAAATTCTAGAATGCTATTACTATACTACTAACCAGTAAAAACCTTCATCAAAGATGTGAAGCTCTATAGGTCCATTCAAAACTATGCCTAACCATGGCCAAAAAAAAAAAATTGCCATTTATCTTTCTAAGTTATTTAGCAGATATTAACATGTTTCACATTTAGTGAAATTCTCTTCGTATAGTATTGTGATTAAAAAAATCAATCCATAAATTCTAAAGCTAGATTTATCAATAGAGATCAAACTGCACTAGAGATTTAGTCTGGTTTTGATTTGTTTCTAGTTTGATTTTTATTTATAGTAAAACTAGCAGTAGTTTTGCCCAACTTCCAGTATTTTATATTCTTAATAGCAAGACCTGATTATAAATAAACATAGCAAAAAATGAATATATTATTTAAAATACTAAATAAAGATGAGGGGAACTATCTTATTTCTTTAAAAATAATATGTATAATATCATTTGGTGACAACATTCTTTTATTAAAGTTGCCATACATTTTCTTTAAAAATAATATATTGCGATAAATTTTTGTGGCCAAAAGCTTTAAAAGTGATATGGACAAAAGTGTTAGAATCAAGACTGAAACCACTGTTGGTGCTAAAAAGATACTCTTCTCTTAACAGAGTGCAATTCACCCAGTGTGAGGCTACTGATATCACATCATGAGCAGATGTGCAATGACAGCACAACATATAATGTTTAATGCACACAGTGCCAAAGCTATGTGTGACAATGAATTTGTACAATTTCCCTTTTTTTTTTTTTTTTTTTTTTTTTTTTTTTTTTTTAGCATAAACAGATCACTGCACACACGGGAGAGGTTTCATCTTCCCATGTACACAGCCATCTGTTTTCCTCAAAAAAATATTTAAAAAATCTGAGAATTACGAAATTTGGCTTTGTGTATATTTAACATTATTGTAAATATTTGAATCTTTTCAGATTGTATTTTTGCTTTTCTCTCTTATGGTGTGTTGTTTTGTTTTGCTTATTTATTTTGTTTAGCACTTGTTTTAGGATTGATGATTTTTGGACCTATTTTGTGTTTAGACTATATTGGCACGTGTCTTGTATTTGGTACAGTCAAAAGTCGTTAATCCGGACTCGTCGGGACTTCGGCGATTCCGGATTATAGATCATCAGTTTAAATCTCGTAAGATGGCATGCAGAAATTCTAAAATTAAAAATATGAAACCGTAATTTATGAAATAAAGAACAATTATGATCTAAGGGGTATCAAAATTTACAAAAAAAAAAAAAGCTTAATATTTATTTGTTTACTTTATTAAACATTTCTCTCAATGTAAGTTGTTTAAGTTGCTTCATTTTATGTGATAATACTTTCTCTTTAATTCTATAAAAAGATATAATTTCTTGTTCAGTTCAAAGTTCCGCTGTTCAAGTCTCATTAATTGCTGTGCCGAGAATACCGACTAACTTGTCAATCGAAATTTTTTCGTTTTCACAAACCTCTCTGTCACATTCTTCATGTCTTTATCCATTTTTTGCAGTAATTCCACTTTTTGTTTGTTGGACATCGAAACATACTTTCGTTTTGTAGATCCTTTGGAAGTTCCAGCATCGGAAATTCTATTTGACATAATCAAAGTTCAAGTTTACTTTTATAAAATTGCTCTTACAGTCTGCAAAAAATAATAAGCGGGATTCAATTTGAAGATTAAGGAACAACGTAATCATTAACATTAACTGAATAGATAATTAGATAATTTTAGCTTACGCCGTCCGTTATACATTAAACGCGCAGGCGAAAACGTATTCTGCACTTGCGCACACGCATATGCGCAGTAGTCAAGGTCTTACGTGCACGCGTAAGTGCATGTGCTAACACGGCACATGCGCAGAAAGTTTTTAGCTTTGAGGTCCGGATTATAGATCATTCCGGATTATGGGTGTCCGAATTAACGACTTTTGACTGTATTCATTTATTACATGGGACTGTGGATTTTTTTAATTCTGGGTGCAGTGGCACTGGAATTATGAAGACAGCTTGGTTGGAGTGCGAGTTGTGGGTAACTGTGTTCCTAACAAGCCTTGGCAATGGTTTCTGATGCCAGGTTGGTGGTTTTTGCTGGTTTGGCAGATTTTTGAGAGTTTGGATCTCTAAAGTCGGTTCTTCCGGCACTTCAGTGTATGTATATAGTTCAGAGGGCTGGGGTGTTCATCAGAGAATCAGCTGCAAAAATTAGTGCTTAGCTGTATTATGAGTTAAGGTTTACCCTGAGAGTGATTTCAGGAACTTTACCATGTATTTCAAAGGAGAAGTTGCTTAATATTCAAGTTAAACCTTTAAAAAACCTGTAGCAATTTATTTTATACGTAATTTTATATGCAATTACTCTAAATAATTTTAAAACATAATCTCTAGAACTATTTAATTCATTACCTGTTTTGCAAGCCAAACTTTAAGAACAGGCATGCCAGCAATAATAGAATTAGGATCTTCTTCAGCTGCAGAATTTACAGTATCATTAGCTCCAATGACAAGAACCAAATCAGTTTCTTTAAAATCATCATTTATTTCTTCCATTTCAAGTACTATGTCATATGGCACTCCTGCTTCTGCTAATAAAACATTCAGCTGGCCTGGCATACGTCCTATATACATAAAATTGTTATACACATTATAATGACATATACTGAGCATTAAACAATAGAAAGAAAATACTCTGGATGTTAAAAGAAAATAGTCAACTGGAAAATAATTGCAACAATAATTCATTTTCAAAACAGACATTTTATTTTATGAACGGTGACATAAAGAGCACTGTTTGAAATCTAAATATGGATGTATATTATGGATATGTAAATATGGATGTGTATGATTATTAACATCAAAATAAATTTAAAAAAAAAAAAACAGACCTTTAGAAAACCTTTTCCTACCTTTGGAAAACAATTTATTTAATTCTTATTTGAACTTTAAAAAAATGCACTAAAATTTTTATTTTTAGCTATGAAATTTTTTTTTTTTTTTTTTTTTTTTTTTTTTTTTTTTTTTTCTGAACTATTTTTTTAACATTTTGTTATATTTTACTTTTCCTGCAGATGAGAGAATTAAAACTTTTGCAACTGAACATATTATATGACATTAGAAACGTGCTATTATTTACACCAGAGGTATTAAAATAACTTACTAAATTATAAAGAAGTACAGATAAAATGAATTTTCAAAAATTCATTTAGCATGCTTATGTGCTATAAACCTTTCCAATATGGAAGATAAATGTATTTTATTTACATATTATGCACAGATCTCATCATTTGGCAACAGTTCTTGATTTTTTATCTGCAACAGATAAAATCTACTAGATAAAAACAACAGTACCCTTCTGAGGAGTTAAATAATTGCTTGCCCTTTCTACTGTTGTTTCTCATACTAAAATAAAATGTATAAATTTTCAAAATTTAAAAAAAAAAAAAAATTACCAGCAACAGGATGAATTCCAAAACGCACTTTCTTTCCCTTGTCAACTAGCATCTTTACCATCTCAGCCAGAGGGTACTGTGCTTTTGCTACACATAACCCATATCCAGGTGTAATTATTATATTTTTTGCTTCTCTGATCATCTGCACTGCTTGGGATACATCACATTCAGTATGAACTCCAGTCACAGCCATAGGTTTACCACTGCCAGTGCTTGAAGTGCCATAACCACCCAAAATGACGTTTGGTAAAGACCTATTCATGGCCTAAAATCGTACAATAAATTAAACATTTTGAATAAAAATTACAGTTGGTATTTATTTCATTGTTAAATTAAATAAAATACATAACAAATGATGCAAATATAAATAAAAACAAACCTTGCACATAATATATGATAAAATGGCACCTGATGAACCAATAAGAGCCCCAACGATTGTCATTAAATTATTATTTAACATAAAACCTTCAGCACAAAGTGCCCATCCTGAGTAGCTGTTTAATACTGTGATGACAACAGGCATATCAGCACCTGAAAATAAAATTATATATTTAATTTATTGTAAAAATACAATAAAATTTTCTAATCTAAACAGTTTGGGGGAATGCTTGGCTACTCTATTTATAATGGAAACTGGAAATGGAGTTAATGTTCTGATATCTATTCTCTCCAAATAAATTACAGCATAGTTTGTGTAATGTTTTCAAATATTAACTAATAGACTGCATTCTCAATTATTTAATAACGAATAATCTTTATGTATGTTATTCTCTCACTCTGTAACAGCCACACCTAGGGCCTAAAAATTTCAACAATTTATCTTACGCTTTGTGTGATTTTATAAAATTCTAATTAACAAATTCATCAAATTAAAAGAAATCTGTTGCCACTCTGCACAGTATACAGTATTTGCCTTTTAAATTAAATCAACAAACATAGTGATTTAAAAGAAATGGGTTGTCACTACCCAAATGAAATATTTTATCTTCCATGTGCCAGTGTGTTGCCATTCAGTAATGTGCAAGTTTTTAAATTTTCTTTCAAATTTAACCTATCTGGTATTAACAAACTAAGTAATTTAAAAGCAATAAACACAATTTTTCACCTCCAATATTACTAATTACTGGCTGGCTTCATGAAATTACCCTAACTGATTAAAACGATTGCATACCTTTTCTTTATAATTGTTTTAGATGATCAGCCACAGAAGCAGCCAAGCAAGTGGCTAGTAATACAATATAAACTTTATTAATATCACAACAAAGAAGTGCATGCTATATATATACAATAAATTACATCTTTTTATAAACAATTATTAATTTACTATTTTGGCATTTCTTATGGGCTTTTCATACACAGTACAAAACCTCAAATCAGGGAATCCAATACCTGGAATGATCTACATATTTGCCAATCTATGACACTCAGAAATCTGGAAATTTTTCTTGCTGATAAAGATTTTATTAAATGATAAAAATATATTTTTAATATATATTAACTTTAAACAGTTATTAATTAATATCTGAAAGTTTAGTTACTAATTCTTAAGGGCAAACATTACAAAAATACTTAACATGTAAAAAAAAACATTTTTATTGCATCATTTAACAAAAACAAAATAATACTTTAATCAGTTTTCATTCAGCATGCATGATCTGATGCATTCAGTGGAAGGTTGTGCTCCACTAAGAGGGAAGAAAAACAAGCATTCTGCATTAATAACTTTTTGATCCTTTGTTTTTCATGGAAAAATTTAATTTTTTGTTTTATTCAATAGAATTCATGTTCTCCTTGTGCTTTTGTATAGGCAGATGTTTAAGAGGATCAGTTTTCCCAATACATGAAATCATAAAATCACATTAATAAATGGTACACATCGCAATTGTACTACATTTCCTTGACGAAATAATATGAGGAAAGTCATCTCTGTACAATTTTTGAAAAGTACATGAGTATTTTTCCTTTTTTGCAGACTTAACTAAAACAAAAGATTGTAATTTCTTAAACTATTTCTTGAAAGCATGTGCACTCACACCACTCAGCGACAAGATGAACAAAATAACAACATCGATCTCGCTTTGTGCTCATTGACCACGACGTGCCAGATGACATGCAGTGGCACTTGATGCTCATTGGAGGACTGGAACATGATGTTTTCAGACACACGAGCTCTTACAAAGCAGAAGCATAATTTCTCACTGATGAAATGAATTTGGTTTTCTTTTATATGTGATCTAGAGAAAAACTAAGAGCTTTCAGATGCCTAAAATAACTTGCAAATAACAAAGTTTTTGTGCAAATAACAAAGTATTAAGCCAAACTACATAAAAATAAAGTCGGGAGAAATATGCTGCAAATCAAGTCGGTGGGAGAACGGTCGGAAATCGAGAGAGTTGGCAACTCTGGATATAAAATTCAGACTGCCAGACCACAGCAATTTTTTTTGTGTGTGTGTGTTTGTGTGTATATGCTTTAAACATGCATATTTGATGTTTTTTAACAGTAAAAACATGTGAAGAGTCCGGATTCTTAACTTAAATTCAGCGCTAAAATAAAGTACCTCCATATTGACGAAAAGATCATTTACGAGCATATATCTGTATGATCAATAATTTGGCTTTGTAACTGCCGTTTTCCTTGGCATACATTTAAAACCAAAATGTCTTTGATTTTAGACCTTCTGATTAATTTATATGACAACCTGGAGAATCACTATTAATTTTATTTTATTTTATTTTATTTATTTTTTTTTTTTTTTTTTTTCCTTTTATCAGCGCATGACATCTTGGAAATGACTCATGCAGCTATGTCTAAATTTCTCTGTTAAATATTAATTAGCAAATGAATACCAAACAGCATGGCAAACTTTTGTGTTAACATTATGCTTGGCAAAGATTACAGACTACGTTACAGCTAACTGCACTGCAAAGTGTTGAGCAAGAGAAATTTAACAGAAATTTCTTTTCATATGTATAAAAAATAGAATTTATAAATGATGCTTGTATGCTAAAAGATAGCATTTAGTGCTGTTTGAATTGAGAACAACTGATCTGTAATTCAGATAAGCCCAGTATTGGTGGCACCAGGTGTGGCTGCACCAGGTGGCAGAATTTAGGAAAGGCAAAATTTTTGGAATTTACAGAAGCTCCAAGCAATAAAATGAAGAGATAGCAAAAGTTTTCAAATCTAGGCAGGCACTTGACATTAAAGTTTAGAACCTGTACCAAGTTGCAAAGTTGAGATTGCATCAAGTTGCAAAATGTCTATGCTGGTCTTGTAGAAGGTCTTAAGTACATGCAGGAATTTATTTATTCCAGACTTGGACAAGCTTTAAGCATGTGCGGCAAATAGGCTTAAGTATAATATATAACTAATATGATTCAGGTTTTACTTCGTCAGTGTCTGATAAAAGTAAGACGAAATTTAGCGGAACATGTCTTCAATCACCAGTCTCATAATACATTGACAATTGTGTATGTCAGTGTATGGCTTTAGCTTTATGATGATAGTCATGAATCTGAAGGTTTTCAGATATCAGAAACAAAAGATGAAATTTTCTAATTAATAGAATTTGTGAAGAAATGTGGTGAAGTGATAATAAATGAAGATGATTTAAAAGGAGTTTTTAACTGTGATGATAATGCCCCAAACATCAATCCACTAACAGATTGCAAAACCTGTAGGTATAACCTGTAGTATGGTTCTAAATCAAAAAAATATCACTACTGATAGTGAACGAAGTAACAAAGAGGTTGATAAAAACAAAACAAAAACAAAATTCTGATCAACAATTTAGTATGAATTTTTGAGACGTCAATTACAGGACTTGAACAATGGAACTTTATAACTGAACAAGAAATTATGTCTATCCATAGAATTAAACAGAAAGTATTAGCCCAACAAATTAACTTACATTGAAAGAAATGTTTAATGAAGCAAACAAATACTGAGGTTTTCTTTTTATTATTTGGATTTTTTTTAATGATTATATGCTTTATTATTCATAAAACACTATTTTATAATTTTTACATATCATCTTAAAGATTTTAACTGATGATCTAAAACCCTGAAAAATCCCAAAAGTACTGACAAGCCTGGATCTTGGACTTTGTACTATATAAACAAAGTCTCTATTATTATAAAACAAAGAATCTGTGAGTGAGTATGCAAGTCATTACTGTAGAAAAATGGAAGCCACCAAATTTTAATGGTTTTGCATCCAAGCATATGTACCTTGAAACCTGAATTTTGAATTTCCATTAATAGTTTTTTTCCTTATAATGAATTTGATGAATTTTAGATATTTTTCACTCCAAGAAATGGTATTTTCTCATTACAAAATTTCAAATTTTATATCATTGTAAATTGAGGCTTTTAAATAAAGGGTGTTCCATTTCTGCAATTTAAAAATCCTAATTTTTTATAATTTGGGAGGGGAAAAGGTCATAAGTGGAAAAAACTACAAAAATTATTTTTAAATTGTCCATTAAAAAATAATAACCACAGGAAAAAGAATATATATGAATAATTTATTTACTAAAGAAATACTGATTATATTATCTCCTAAGATTAATTTTAGAATTATCTTAGAAGAGTGAATCCATAGTTAGTAAGTTCAATTCCGAAAATTGTTTTAAAGTAACTTGAATGTAAATTGTTAAAAATGTTTAACAGGGACTTGAATTAAATCATGAATACTGAAATTTCCATTGTAAAAAGAAATTAAATTAAAGGCAAGTAATTAAAGTAAAAGCAAGTAATCATTGCCATTGATCGGAAATTAGTTGACTTTTCAAGGGGAACAAACCAACTCCCGTTCAATGAACAATAATTAAGAAATAAATATGAAGGTGTTTCGTCCTTTACTCAAGTAACAAGGCGATGTCAAACTGGTAATTTAAGTTAGGCCAAATATTTCCATGAATTGAAAGGATCAAGAACCAATGAACAGCACCAAAGAACTCATTCTGATTAAGCATTTTCGCTAATTCAATTTTGAGTGAAAAGCAATTTCTGCAGTAAAATTGATAAATTACTCAAGTATTTGTCCCCTGACACCCTCGTGTTTATGCATTTCAATTCAAAATTATTTGTAAAAATTAAACATTGGAAATTGGCATTATGAAATAGAACTCAATTGAAATAAACATTAGAAAATTATGAAATATAAGAAATATAATGCAACCTTTGCAAAAACAAATAAAAAATAAATAAAAATAAAAATTGAAATTTAAAATATATATAATAAGAAAAGGGAATGTACAATGAAGATATAAAAGGCCAGAAAAAACATTAATTAACTTACGTTCTTTCTAGTGGGAAATGGGCAAAGTGTTCTCTTCGCGTCTTACTCAGAAGGGTTGCATTTCCAAAATTCTTTATCGGCAGCGGGGGCTTTGAATTATATCAGTCGGCGAGACTTGTGTGAAGTAATTTATGGGGAAGAGAGTGACTAGGAATGCTTGAGGGACGTATGTTGTGGAGTTCTTATTTGAGTGAAACCATCTGTTAATGTATTTTAAGTGCGTAGATGACACTGGTACTTTTAGCAGCTTGCAATCGTCATGGCTGAGAGTGGATTTTTTTATGCACTGCAGCTTGAAGTCTGCATAGTTAGATATATGGATGCATTAAACAAAACTTAGAGACATGACTGTTTTGAAACATACTTTTATTCCATGATAATTTACATTAGATCATTTTCGCAGACAAGGCATTTAAATAAGATAATTCTTATATACACTGGTTTTAAAAGTAAGATGTAAGCAGGAAAGCATAAGCAGCATGGAGACGTTTGCATGGCAAAAGTCAGGAAAAAAGGGAGGCCATATTGCTCATGAAATGTAAAGCCAAGCCATGATTGGTTAAATTTAGTTTTAGTTACCTTTTTCAAGCAATGTTATGCAATTTGGAAAGTTCTCGAATTTGGGAGAAATGATAAACTTAGGGGGAGAACACCAAATTTAGAATTTTCAATTTTAAGGTTGCCAATTATTTCATAACATAGCTATCATATTTTATTATATCTTACATATATATATATATGTGTGTGTGTGTGGTTTTGGTATATGTATGTATATATATATATTCAGGTTTAAACTTAAAACTTCTAAAGTTAAAATTTTAAACTGGAATCAAAGCAAGATAATTGCTCAACAATATTAATAATTGCAACTGTGGATAAAAGGTTTAACACTGCATATCAAAATTTAAATAAGAATTCATCAGTAGAAAAAACTCGAAAAATAAAAATCCGAAAAGGAAAAAATATACAAAATTATAAAAACATTAAAAATATTAAAATTAATCTCCTTTTACTGAAACTCTAATTCAGAACTCATCAGGGGAAAATGAATTAAAGTTTTATAAAAGTCAATTAATATACTTCAAAAACATGTTTCATTGTTCTGGTTTATTTGAGGTAAAAAAACAAGGTTCAATTAAATTTTCATTTAAGTCATTAAAATTCATTTCAAACTGAAAAATCAAATCTCAAATGTATTAAGTTTAATTTACTTCAATACTGCAGCTATAATGCAGAGCTGGTTCAAAAAAAAATAATTTTTTTTTTTTGTATATATATTCAGTTTTTTATAATTTTTCAAATTTAATTTCACATTTCTTTAATTTTTATTTTGTATATTTACAACATATTTTGAAAGTCATTTGTACCGAATTTCATTTTTTGGGGGGTCTTAGTATAAAATAGGTTCTAAATTTCTTACTTTTTTGTCTAACTAATCAATTTTCAGCAGCATATTGTGCAAAAATACTTTGAATAATTATGGTTTTAAAAATTTTTATAATGTTCTCTATATATGCATACATACACATGCACATATAAGTTATTTCTATCTCTACTCTACTAAACTTTGTTTCATTTCTATACTTAAAAAAAAAAAAAAAAAAAAAAAAAAAAAAAAAAAACTTTTTTAATCATTATTATTATTAATTGAAGGTTAGCCTCACAAGTCACTTGTGAGGCTAGCCTTCAATTTGGGCATGCATCAGTTGCTGTTCAAGGACAACTTTGAATGTTTTTCCTCATATTGCATATACCAGATAAAAAAAAAAAAAATGGCTAATCAAATATAAAATTTTAAATTCACTATGATTGCTTTCCTTGCTGTTAACAAATGAAGAAGTATTGGTTAAATATAAAACACATATCTGAACGAACACATTAATGTTATATACTCATTTTAATAAATATAATTCTTTTCTTAAAAAACAAATAAATTTACCTCCAATAGCTGCAGTTAATGTAACTCCCATTATCATAGATAATGCACTAGTAGCTCCAAGACAACTTAAACCAGCTGCACTGCTGCCGGACATGAGATAATATGCCATAGCAGCTACATTTCCTGCTAGAAGTCCAGAGTTCAAAGCATGACGTCCAGGCAACAACAATGGGGCAGAATTTAGCAATCCTAAATTGATTTCAAGAGGTTATATGAATATCATAATCTATTTACCAACTTTTTAAGGAAATTGATTATATTTGTAGTGAAGTTTCGAGAACTTCATTGAATAAATTTTTTATAGCATTTTACAAAATTATAATAATACTGAAATTTTATTTTAACACGGAAAATTTGCTCTTAAGTTTCATACTTTGCAATCATTTATTTAAATCCCTTTAAAATATTTACAAATCTCTGTAAAATGCTCTGAAGCTCACATAATAAATCTCAATAAAATTATGGTCATCTACTTAAGCACCAAATCCTACCAAAGATTATATCAAAGTCCCCTTTATTTATTACAATAAAAATACTATTTCAATTTAATATTTTCCTTCTAATTAATTCAACTTACACATATTGTTTATATCACTAAGCATAGAAAATCCATTTATTCCAAATGAGTGCAGCTCCTCTCTTAACTTCAGACATTTTTAAATTCAATACAAGTTAGTAGTAAGATTATAAGGTAGTTCTCCCACTTCCCTAGCGTGCCTTCGTGGTGTAACGGTAGCACGCTGGGCCAGTATTCCAGAGTTCCATGGTTCGATTCCTGGCGAAGGCGGTTGCACATTTTTAATCTTTTCTGCTTCCAATTAACCTAATGACTCTACAAGTGGCGCCCGAACTAAAAGGATTGTGGATGATGATTCTCCCCACCCAGGATTTGGCGACTAGGTCTCCTAAAACCCTAGTCGCCCTTTAAAAAGGGTAGTATATAAGGTATTTCTTCCACTTCCCTAGCATGCCTTCGTGTTGTAATGGTAGCACGCTGGGCCGGTATTCCAGATGTCCGTGGTTCGATTCCCGGTGAAGGCGGGTACATATTTTTCATCTTTTCTGCTTCCAATTAACCTAATGAATCTACAAGATGAATGATGATGAGTCACTAATAAGCTTTAGGTTCGAAAAAATATATGCTCCTTGTATCAAAGAAAGATAAGTTAAATAATATAATCAATTCGAAACTTCCTTTTTTTTTTATTTCAAATAAAAATGACATGCCCAAGCTCATACCAATAGTCCAGACATGCAGAAACAAGTTATGATTACAACTCGTACGTTTGCAATCATCCATTCTGCAAAGGATCCTTGTCAAGAACGACTTGAAAGACATGAGACAGCAAAAACATGATTTAAATGCAGCATTTTTGTCACTAACTATGGGAAAATAAAATAAATGATTGCTTTAAATGGGAAACGTCCAGAAAAGAAATTTCTTGCAGTAATTACACAGCAATTATGGCAAAATTTCTTACTCTTCTCGCTGTGCATTACTGCTTATTTCTTTGCTTCAATCTACTGTCTCAAGATACTGATTAGTTAGATAAAATTGTGGGATGCTTGTCGCAGCCATAATAATGATGTGTGACTGAAAATATGTATCACAAGAATTAAGTGTTGTCTTGTTATCTATAGCAATGTCTGCTAGGTTTTCTCCTCTATTAGGTCACCTTGTGCGTCTATTCAGCTGTTTTCTAAACTCAAGATATCTGAAGAATTTATATTACAAATTAAAATAGCCAACAGGATCCTATGATCCTGCTTGTATGCCTTTCATTGCGCCTAAGTGTGTTTCAAAGAAAAGTTATCTACACATACATATAAGTATGTATGTAATATTAAGTACTGCACATACATATAAGTATGTATGTAATAATTTAGAATGCAGAGAGAGAGAAGATACAAATACGGCCAAAAGTTTTAGATGATGCTGGCATAAAGAATGCAAATTGTGTCGAAGAAGGATGAAGCTTGCAGACACACACAGCCATAATTAATTCCTGAGGCACATATTCTAATTCACACATCAACATGGGTGTAATATGCATCCCCCATTTTTGGAAGTTTAATAACTCTAAACACATAACTATGAATGATAGAGAGGAATAAGTCACTAGAGGTTAGCTGCAGGCAAGTGAGGTAAAGTGCCACTGCATTCAGAAGTAGTGAGTGAGAGTGTCAAAAGGTTTGGTTTCAAGTGAAATTTTATTCAGTGACTGGATAAAAGGTATCTGTATCACAGCATTAGATAAGACTGCATGATACTGATGAATTTTGAAATGATGCAGTTTAAATTGATATACAGTCAAAAGTCGTTAATTCGGACACCCATAATCCGGACCTCAAAGCTACAAACTTTCTGGGCATGCGTCGCTTTGACGCATGCGCATAAGACCTTTATGGCTGCGAATATGCATGTGCCCATGCGCATAATACGTTTAAGCATGCGAATTTAGATACTTCAGCATAAAAATATAAAACAACATTTTAATCTTAAACTTCAAAACATGTTCATACTTTAAAATTTAAAATCAGAAATGAAGAGCATGTTTTTTTTTAACTTGAGCTAAATATGCAGTTATTAACATTATTTAATGTATAACGGACGGTATAAGCTAAGCTAAAATTATCTAATTATTTATTTCAGTTAATGTTGCAGATTGCGTTGTTCCTTAATCTTCGAATTGGATCCAACTTATTATTTTTTGCACTGTTAGAGCAATTTTATAAAAGTAAGCTTGAACTTTCGATTACGTCAAATAGAATTTACGATATATATTTACTAATATGTAAAGGATCTACAAAGCGAAAGTATGTATCGAAGTCCATTAAACAAAAAGGGAATTGCTGCAAAAAATGGATAAAGGCATAATCCTTTGTTTATCTAACCATTCCGAAATTTGTTTATCAATTTCCCCCGGCTGCTCTGTGGGGGAAGGGGGGGAACGCCGCACAATAAATTGGAAGTTGATCTGTCAGCACTATCCTTATGTTCAGGGCAGATGTTTTTATTTTATTTGGCTTATAATTCCTTGCTAAATGTAGTATTTCAACTCGATGTACTCCATCTTTGATATGATTTAAATCAAATTCCTCGTCATTAGAATTCGCTTCCGATAGCGAAAAAAGTGACACAGAGGTTGTTGAAAACGAAAAAATTTTGATTGACAAATTGGTAGGTATTCTCAACACAGCAATTATAGGACTTCAGCAGCGGAACTTTGTAACTGAAGAAGAAATTATGTCTGTTTATAGAATTAAAGGGAAAGTATTATCACATAAAACGAAGCAACTTAAACAACTTATGTTGAAAGAAATGTTTAATAAAGTAAACAAATAAATATTAAGCTTTTTTTTTTTTTTTTTTTTTTGTAAATTTTGATACCCTTTAGATCATAATTGTTCTTTATTTCATAAATTACGGTTTCATATTTTCAATTTTAGAATTTCTGCATGCCATCCTACCAGATTTAAACTGATGATCTATAATCCGGAAAAATCGATAATCCGGAATTGCCGAAGTCTCGACGAGTCCGAATTAACGACTTTTGACTGTATTATAAATAGATAATATTTTTATGACACAAAGCAAAAATACCCAAATTAAAATGAAGAATACAAGGCACTACTGCCAATTAAAAGCAGAATTTTTTTTTTTTTACATATATTTATCTCATACACACATATATGTATTAAGTAGATTTGCAGAAAATAGAATTAAAAATTTACCTTGAAGTTTTCCATATGCAACAAGGGAGCCACTGAAGGTGATTCCTCCAATAAACGTGCCCAAAAATAATGCTGTTTTTATTGCATTTGCAGCAGGATCAGTTGCAAAAGTTGGAAAGTCAACAATGTATGTTGCAATACAGGTAAGTACAGCTGCCATACCAACAAGACTATGGAAAGCTGCAACCAACTGCGGCAGATCTGTGATTTCAATTTTCTTTGCAATATACAAACCAATAGCTCCACCTAAAAGAAAAAAACTGACATTACAACATAATTTCCTAAAGCTTATATAAATCTTTACAATAATCAAAGCAAAAATAACCTTCTCAGCAATTGTTAGAAATTAATAAAGAAAAAATAACACAAAGAGGAAATATCTTTAAGCTGCCCTTCCCTGCTCCACATAAAATTTAAAAAATAAAGAAAATCTATATTTAAGAAATGAGTATTTATTCTTTAAGCCACTAAAATGGTTTGCAAGAGCTTCACATCGAAAAGCGAATTTAGATACTTCAGCATAAAAATATAAAACAACATTTTAATCTTAAACTTCAAAACATGTTCATACTTTAAATTTAAAATCAGAAATGAAGAGCATGTTTTTTTTAACTTGAGCTAAATATGCAGTTATTAACATCTTATAACATCTGCAATATGCTTCATGAGTGAAATAATGAGAATATACATTTTTCATATTAAATGCATGAAATTTACAAAAACGCATCTGTATTCTGGAGAAAAGAGAGATACGTTCATTAAAAAAATATGTTAATAGTCTTTTGAGGACATAAATATAGTATCACACTTCTTAAATTAAGTCACTCTACAACTAATTCCATATTTCAATACAGCATTAAAAAACCTTGAAATATTTTGAGAATAAACCAGACTTTGACACAGGCATAAAACAATGCAGATGCAGCTGACAAAAAAATTTTTAAAAAAAGAGGGGAACAGAAAAGAAATTGTGAAACAACAGACAAATGAAAATATTTTGTATACTTTATACAAATATGACTGTAAAAATGAATAAATTTTGAGAAAGCTGTATAGTTACTAAAATTATCTCTTACTAGCAATTTAATATTTTACCCAAACACAACATTGCATAAAAAATAGCAAATTTTATAAATGTATCACCAAAATTTGTTCAAACTATTAACCTGATGCCATGCATCCTGCTATCTGTAAAGCAAACTCTGGAGGAATATTCATAACACCCAATGTAGATGCCAGTCCACTTGATACTCCTACCATACCCAAAGCATTTCCTAAACGTGATGTCTTTTGAGAAGCTAAGCCAGCAAGAGCTCCAACGCAGCATAAAGATGAACCCAAATAAGCCATTTGATGGATTTCAGGATAACCTGCTGCAGCCAATGCAGCATAGCCCTCCAACAAATGCAGTACCTGATAAAGATCATTTTATGATTAGTATACAAATATTTCAAATTCCACAAAGAAAAACTTCATATAAAGCTGAGAATGAGAATGTGCATTTTATTATTTTTGTTATAAAAAGCCTGTACAAAAGGATAAAACAGTATAGTAATATTATAATATTTAGTGTAATTTATTAGATAAGCTACAAAATTTTGATTTCCAGTGCAAAAATTTTGCATTGAATTTTTGTTTCTGACTGATTTAATTACACTTTGGTACTTGCGCACTTTCCTGTTCATTCTGAAAGTTGAAGAGATCCCATGAAACTTGCAACAATCAATCTGACACAAGTTTGAAATAACAGATCACTCTTTAGACCAGTTTCCCGAGGAGGGGGGAATTCAATTGTTAAGGGGACAATAAATATAAAATGATATGATAATTCAACAGGTAATTTCTATTAATTTCAGTTTTAGAAGCATCATTTCCCAGAAAAATTTGTCAAATGAGAAGGTATGTTTTTTTAGGGTGAGGTAAATGGGTCATACAATATTTAAATATTCATTTTTAATCTATGTTTATTCCAATACATATTATTTTTTTAGTTTTTAATTAAAGGGGCATAAGAATTTTAGAAACGTTTAGGTGGGGCATAGTACAAGAAAAGGTTGGGAACCTCTGCTTTAGACAAACAACACATACAAGTTACAAATATAAAGTATAACCGTGAAGCATTCAAACTAAGGATGTACATTAAATTTTTTTTTTTTTTTTGGTGGGGGAGTACCAAGTTTCTATGACTTTGAAAATTCTCTACCACTTGCTACTCCGTAGAAGGCATGATTATTCTCTTTTTAAGATGCAAAGAGAAAAATACAGAACAGAAGTTACCTTACATTCTTCTTTAAAAGAAAAAAGTAAATTGGTTGATTAAGAATTAATCAGGGTTACACAGACTCCGGAAAAAAATTATGGCCATTCTTAAGCATTACTGACATTTGGTAACAGTTTTTGTTTGTTAAAAATGGTCAATGAGATATATGTAAATACCTACAATTTAAAAAATAAATTTATTCAGACATAAGCTACGAATTAAGAAATCAAAGCATTAATAATTATTTTCAATTAAGAATAATCAGAAATGCTAAATTTTAAAATTCAATGAAAATATTTTTTAAAAAATTATATTAGTAGAGAGTATATAAGTTTGTGCTGATCAGCATGTCACCCTTTCTTTCAATAATTTTAGCTCATACCGTCCTTACTTAAAAAACTACACATTTTGTTTTCGTATAATAGATGTATAAATTATTACTACTTAACAATAAAACTGAAGCTAATTTTAAAAAAAAAAATACTTACAGGAACTTTCTTCACATTTTAAGACTTTATATACAATGAAGAATCACCTCGTTCTTTAGTATCAAAATATTTTGGAGACTAGCATTTTTAAATTTTCTTTTGAGATTAACTGATAATAAAATAGTTGCCAGTAATTGACAGCACCAAATTATACACAATTCTTTTATTTTTTCAAACAGAGTTGTTTTGAATAATTATGTGCAAAAGGTGCATTTTTATATAAAAGATCAAACTATCATTAAATATGATCCAAATATGTTCTTTCATAAATGTAAACATAAAAATTTACCATGATTTTTAGCTTTGATTTTATGATTTCCACATCAAAATTACCATAATTATCAACTTTATTAATTTAGAAAAGTAAAAAGAATGTTATACATTAAAATAATTTTAATTTAAATACAGAATTAAACAAAGGATATATTTTCTATTTCTCAATTTATTTCATTTAAAATAATCAAAGCTATAATCTAATTGATTTAAAGATAACAAAGTCTGAAAGCTGCACACTTTGCAGAATAAATTTTAATTATTTTTGTACAAAATTGTTACATAATTTACCACAAATATTATTGTTAAAATAATTTTAACAATTTAAAAACAAACTGGTACAGTTTTAGTTACCTGGTATTCCATATAAGTAATTATACTCAGGGGGATCAGTCGGTCTTTTAAACATATCCAGCATTCTCTTAGTAACTAGAAAACCACCACATATGTTGATAGTTGACATAAATGTTGCAGCAGCTCCTAGTGCTTGAGGAATAGTGTGAGGGAGAACTCCACCACCCATTAACAGAAGTCCACCAACAGCAGTAATGCCAGACACAGCATTAGTCACAGACATCAAGGGGGAATGAAGTGCTGGTGTTACACCCCACACTGTATGATAGCCTATGGAATAACACATCATTTATTTAAGATTTTCTTATAATGAAATTCGAATTCCCTGTTCGTTAAGATATCATACCTGTTAATGATTTTACTTAAATAGATTAAGATGAAAATTATGTCTGTGATTAAAAATTTGTTTCCCCTTCGAATTTTCATCATAATTTTTTTTCCACCATATATGGAGGCAAACTCAAAAATTTTCTAAGAATGTCATTAAAATTTAAAAAAAAAAAAATCTGATAGGATTCAAATTTTAATGATCACCAAAAAGGGCTCTTTTAAGTTTAATATGCATATCAGCAGAGATTATTGGCAAACATTTGATAAGATATTAGATGAATATGCATATAGATAGAATAATAAAGGAGCATCATATATCTTCTATATATTTAAAAAATGAAAAATATGTTATGTAATTCTATAAAAATATTTAAAGCTTTAATTAGATATATAATGAATTAAATGCAATTTTTATTTAAAACAATCAGATTAAAAAGTTAAAAAAAAATATTCTTAAGAACTGAATCTACTGCTTTTAAATAGTTAAGTTTCTTAATTGAATAATTAAACTGCCAGAAACAGGAATTTGAACAACAGAATTTGAAATAGGCAGATTAAATATGAAAAAATAATATCTTATGCTTTTCCAAGTGGCAACAGATTCAAAGTGAAACAATGCATTAAACAGAAACAACGCAAAATCACATTTAAAGATTAATAGCTCTTTCGAACTAAAAAAAAGATCAATTTCCAATGTGAAAACTTCAGACTACATATAGCATCTCAAAGAAGAATTTACCATAAATAAATTATAAATACATAAGAAATCATACAAATACTTAACTTTTCTTCTTTAATAAAAATATTTACTGTTATCAAACTATAAAACTAAATCTTTACTAACGAAACTCAGCCCAAAAAGAATATCAATTTTAAAAACTATGGCATTTCTGTCCCGAATTTTTTTTTTTTTTTTTTTTTTTAGTTTTAAAAAATAGCAAATTATTTTATAAAAAATTACAGTTTCAATAAAAATTTGTAAAAAAAAAAAAAAAAAAAAAAAGAAGAAGAAAAGAAAGAAAGAAGTGCAATCTTATGTTACTACAATATTTTCTCACTGCCTTTCGATTTTATTTAAATGCAAACAAGAGTGTACAAGAAATAGAGCTAGAAATTTTGCAAATGATTACAGATAGAAAAGTAATTTTATTGCAAGGAGATGAAAAACTTGGGGAATAATCACAAGGAAAACCATATTTCACAGCCTAAAACTTACAAAAAAAAAAAAAAAAAAAAAAAAAAAAAAAAGCAATAGGCTAACAGTAATTTTGCATGTCAACTATGTTTAACAAAAGGCAACTTTTCTGCATATAGGCAATTTAAATTTCCAAAAATATTTTAACTGTTGGAAATGTGAAGAACAGTGCAGGATTCACATATAAGCTACATAAGCTATAGCTTAGGGCCGCCTAAAAAATTTAAATATAGTATAACAGACATATAAAGGGCCCCATATCTCAAATAGCTTAGGGCCTTACCAAGTCTAAATCTGGCTCTGGTGAGGAACACTATTCAAGAATTTAAATCAGAGTATCTGACACATTACATATATTACAGTGTTTGGATTTCAATATCAGTTTAGTAAAAATACTTTGAATTAGAACTAGCAATGAGTGCAAGAATTAGAATAAATAGTTAGCTCATGGAATGCAGATTGCCTTTTTTTTTTAATCTACTCCTACTTTTTTTTATAGAATGAAAATGTTTGCCATTGGGTACTGAATGCTGATGAATTTCAAAAAAAAATTGCATAAAATGCTTCAACATAATAAACAGAATTCTGAAAATGTATTATGAAATAGTAATGATAAGAAAAATGTAGAATATTTCAAAAGACACCAAATATTAATTCTTAGAATTATTTCAAACATAATTCAAAAACTATATTTTAAAAACTAATAACAAAAGAATCAAAAAATCAGAATTTTTAATGTACCAACCTACAATTCCTGATAGTCCAAATATGGTCATCATAGTAGTGAAAGCTGGATTTGGTGATACCATTCCAAAGCCCAATAAAGTGGATAAACCTAAAATAAAAAATATGTTTATAATACCACATTACTTCGAAATACCTTTTAGCATATGGTTGAAATACATATTGCTGTAAGTAAATAATTTTAATTTATAAACTGTGGTTACCAGTGGTGTACATAAGCGAATCCTTAAATGTCAGATTGAAATAATTAGGCTCTGGAGGTTGAATTTTAGCAACAGGAGCAGGTTTTTCAGAAACAGGAGCAGCTGTTTCTTTGGGAACAGGAGGAGGCCAAAGAAGCTTTCCTTCATGTAATACAATAGACCCACGAACAACTTCATCGGACAAATCAATATTGAAATGATCTTTGCTACCTACAAAATATAACATATGAAACTACTATAATAAAGAAAATACAACTGAGAAAACTGAAATTTAAAAACAAACTATTTGAATTTTAAAAGTCAAGTAAAATAAGTTTAGTGAAACTGGAATGAAAGTTATATTAAGACAATGTCCAAACTTGGATTCACCAATTTTATCTTAATTTTATAACAACTAAAACTGATCGTCAAGTTGTGAAATCAAAACATAAAACTGCCCAGAATTTTACTCAAGATTGCCACTGAACCTTAATACATTATAAAAATAATTACAATATGTATCTAATATATAATCCATGCACAGAATTACTCAGTAAAAAATGAACATTCAGAAGAAAAAGAATACATATAACATTAAATAGAAACAGCGAATAATAATAGGTAACTTTTATTTCAAATATGCTTTAGTTTTCTTCTCTAAATTTTCACATAACAGATTTAGTTACCAACCTATTGATAAAAGGAATTTTGATATGTTATTAGCATACAAAGTTGAAGACTGGGTAGGAAGTCTACTGGGTAAATCAGTATACCCGATGTGAATTACACCATTATGAATATACAACTCTCCAGGACGAGTAGTTTCTACATTTCCTCCAGCTTCTGCAGCTAAATCTACAATTACAGATCCTGGTTTCATAGATTCAACCATTGCCTAAAGAAAAAGCATATTAGAGTGTTAGATAACATATATTAAGATTTTGAAAAACGTACTAACTTTCTGGTTGATAAATATAATCATATTGCTAAAGTACAAAATTACATATTATTGATATAAAATAGAAGAGGCAAAGTCTTATCCATTATCAGAAGCTATGAAACTACAGAGGCTGTTTGTACATTTTTTAGATGATTTTCACTGTATTTACAGAAATACTTACTGAAACTTTTTGTGTTTTAAATGTTCTATTTGATAACCCTTCATTATCTTCCTACACCATGATTTTCAAGACAATAAAGCCTTTGGTAATACCACAAGATATATTTTGTCCCATTTGTCCTGAACGGTTTTCCGAAATCCAAGGAGGGTTATAGGTTGATGTTTGGACAATCGGCTTTTTTATAACAACTAAAACTTAAAAGTTTAAAAAATCAGTGTGCACCACGACTTCCTTGTATGGAATATTAAATTATATGCAATTTTTCTTGCATTTCATTTAAACTTATGGGATTGAATTAAATCTACTTTGTCGATAGTGCATAAACCACAATAGAATAAATGCACTCTTTAAAATTCACTGTATTTGTTTACCATGGCGACACTCTGGCCCTAGATTCACTTAAAAACATTACATTATATTATATTTATTTGTAACTCAGAATGCACAAAATTTATATCATCTTAAGAATTATCTAATCATTGTCACATGTTCTATTCAAATACCGTAATAAATCTAAAACAATGTATAAAAGAAATTAAGCAAAGAACAAAAAAAAAAAAAAAATCTGAAAGTTTTCAGATTTTAAATTATGTACAAAGGGTCTTTTTTAACATTTTATGTTTTATCTGTATTTATTAAATATCGTGTTCTTTGCACTTAAACCATAAAATTCAGTTCAATAGCAATGTCGCAAAATAATTTTAAAATGAGCATATCTTTAGAATTTCTGATACACAGTTCTGCGGGTTGTAGATAAAAAGATCTTTTTTTCCCTGTAGAGTGTTGCCATTGCTCGCTTTTAAATCATTGAGTTTGTTACTCAAAAATTCGTTAAATCTTAGAAAATATGAAAAAAAAGAAAGACAGTGCTTCACAGACGATTCAGTATTTCTCATTCAATTAATTCAGTTCTCACTTCGCAACAAGGCAAAAATACATAAAAACTCAAAATGTCTGCATTGAAAATTATAAAGTAAATCTCAAACACTTATTTCCTCAAATAAATTCCAGAATGGATCAAGCATGATTTAATTTGATATAATAAAAGAAGGCATTATCTTTGTTATTGCAAAGCTTACTTTCTCTAGATTGGCAACAAATCTATTATTATTCTGATGTTTCAAATGTAAACGTGCAATGGACATCATGACAAAAATTATTAGGCTTAGTGGCACTTAAACAACTTTTAAATTGTTGATAATTCTAAAAATATTACATACAGATTTACTAAAGGCATAAAAACCTTAACCGGAAGATAAGAACAACATAATTCGATCATTTTTAGAGCAAAAAATGCACAATTTACAAACATATAAGAATAAAGAAACTGAGATCACTGAGCTGAGTAACAGAGTGGATATATATACAATATATTTATATACTTTTGGTGTGGCTGACTACAACCAAAATATGAGGTGCACATCTACATGTTATAGCAGTCCTATAACAAAATTTCAACGTTCTGAGGCTACTCATTTTTTAGTTATGAGAGATACATACGTACGTATGCACAGACGCCATGAAAAATTCTCTTCAGAATTAATTTTAAATTAGTTTTACATTTTTTCTGGGGGGGGAGGGAGAAGAGTCCTTTATTCTGTCCTTACATACAGATGTCAAGCAAAAACATCGTTAAATTGCATTCGATAGTGGTGAAAATGGATGTTTGCGTTGAAATATGATACCTGAAACTTTTCACGATTACAATACTTCCTTTTTACTTCATACAAGGAAGTAAAAAGCAAAAATTCATGGATGATACATCAGGACAATTTAGTAGGGATATGTGTGTAGGTTATGGCCTTGATAATCGTTTCATGTTCCATTTCCTTCCAAAAAATTAACAGTGGATTTTGACATATAGTTGCTTATTTTCGATTGATAGAGTTCTACTAATTAGTAAGATTGTGGGTAAAGAGAAGGTATTTCATATATGAAAATGGTGTACAAAATATATGTTCCTGATAATATGAGGAGATGCCCTTACCAGTTTTCTGCACTCTCTTTACTTTTTAATTTACCGTTTTTTGAAAAACCTGCAGCAATCGCAAATCCCTTTGAAAAACTCTCATTAGGTTCTTTGAACCATGTTTTCTGATTTTTTTCCTCCTCTTTGATGATAATAAATGGATCTCTTTTTAGTGTAGTCATTAAATACACCTGAATAACCTATTGTGATAAAATTTTCCCATTTTTGTCTGGATAAATGTTTCATAAAGAATTCTACTATGCACTCTGCATTCGTCAATATGTGGTGGAGAAATGACTATGCACATTATCATTTTTGCCTCTTTTAAGATTCAAATTAATATTAATTGCCTTTTTTTGCAGTTAATTCCGAACATTTTAATGATTTTGCAACTGGCCTTTTACTTGGCTTTTCCCCCCCCCTTTTTTTAGCATTAAAGAGTTTACCTTTGCAGCATTCAAAACATTCCATTTTTTCCCTTGGGCATGTATTTGGAAAATTTTTTCTACTCAAAGTGCAACTTTCACGTTTTTTCCCTTTCTTGTTGACAATATTACTTGTCACAGCTTTGGATATTGAAAAACCATGACTTTCACTGTGTTTTTTAATCACTAGATTCGAATAATTTTCTTCGGAAAAAGCACAAATGCAACCTTCCATCCATTGCTTCTTTAAAAGTGACATTTTGCATGAAAACAAAACTGTCAAGTTGCAGATGATACTTCATACTTTTAAAAATGTAACTGCAGTTTAAAAAGTAACTTTCAAACAGGCAATATTCTTTTTATAGCAAAACAAAATCGTCTAAAACATGTGCAAACAGCCTCTGTATTATTAAATAAAAGACTTAAAAGATAAAGGAAGGCCAAAAAAAGTAATCTCTACACATAATCCCTAACACTAAAATAAGTCTAACACTGATCAAACATGGAAGTCAGTAATGCATGTTCTGGTAGCTTGCTTTAAACATCAGCAGATCTTTTAATTTGCTCACTAAATATAATTTTTGCACAAAGATCGTTGAACATTGACACTGCCAAAAGCTTCTATCAGAGTTCTATCAGAATTACATGCACATGAGGACATCATGCGCATGTGTAGTGGTTTTATTTGGAGCCAGTTTTTTTTTTTTTTTTTTTTTTTTTTTTTTTTTTAATATGCTTTAGTAAGTTCGAAGCACTGATGAAAAGTTTTAAGTTTTTTGCATTTGGCATGGCATCCAAATAAGTTTCCCAATATTTTTCAATTGCGGTTTGGAATTGTATTATATTATATATTTTAGATATATGTATATTAAAAATTTCACAAAAAATGGCTAATTTATACAAATTATTTATAACTTCATTCAAAATATGAGTAAAACCAATGAGGCTACTCCATTGCTCACTAAGGTTGAACTTGATGTAAATAATGATCTATTTAAAGGTGAATTCTTTTATAGCAATCAGAAACAATTTTAAAATTTAATACATTTCCTTGGAAAATAATAATTCAAAAAGAAAATTATCAATTGTTATCAATAGCACTGACCAAGTACTGCAGCCACATTATTTTATAATATTTCATTAATAGGCCCATAGAATATACTAAAATTTATTTTTAAAAAAATATTGTAAAAGGAGTTCATAGATAACATAAACAAAATTTGATGATCACTGATGACAATCCCTCAAATAAGAATTGGCAGTGAATGTGTTAATTGCACAAGAGGAAAAAATATTAAATGCAAGTCATTTTAACAGCAGAATCTAACTATTAGAAAATAAACGGTTATGAAATTTTAATCACATGAAATTAAATTTAAATTAAAATGTTTTATTTCTACTCTAAACGTAGATTAGCATAACATATTTTACCCTTGAAATAAGACGAGGAGCAGGTTTTCCAGGAATGAGTGCTGTAGTTATCAAAATGTCAATTTCTTTACATTGTTTTGCAAACAATGCCATCTCGGCTTCATAAAATTCCTTCGACATCTCTTTTGCATAACCACCAACACCTTCTCCAGATTCCTTCACAAATATAAATACTATTATTATTACATATATATTTTGGAAAATATTTCAATTAATGTTTTTATTTGCCCATATTTTAAACAGTTGTCATTCTAAGAAATACAAATTATTTTAAACAGTTGTTATTCTAAGAATGAATAATATGAATTATTTGCTGCCTGGAATTGAATAAATATTTATCATGCTTTAACAGTTTCAAAAATTTTGCATTTTTGCAAAATTTATGGCAACATTCAAGAATATTTTACTCAAACCATTTCTAGCAACTTATTCAAGTCTTTTGACAGCAAATTTAAGAAATAGCATTAAAAAAAAAATAAAATTTGCTTATTTTTGCAATTGCTAGGTCCAGCAGCAGACTGTTTTATTTTTGGTAAAAACTTTCAGTAACTATATATCTGTAAATTTCATGATTCACAGCATAAAAATATTATTACTTTCTGATTATCTGCATCAAAACAAAAAGTAGCCATTTCATGTCAAATAGAATTTCTGATATATATTTACTAATATGTAAAGGATCTACAAAGCGAAAGTATGTTTCGCAGTGCATTAAACAAAAAGTGGAATTGCTGCAAAAAATGGATAAAGGCATATCCTTTGTTTATCTAAACTTTAACGTTGGCGCGCAATGAATTGGAAGTTGATCTGTCAGCACTATCCTTATCTTCAGGGCAGATGTTTTTATTTTATTTGGCTTATAATTCCTTACTAAATGTAGTATTTCATCTCGATGTACTCCGTCTTTGATATGATTTAAATCAAATTCCTCGTCATTATAATTCGCTTCCGATAGCGAAGAAAGTAACAGAGGTTATTGAAAATGAAAAAATTTCGATTGACAAATTAATCGGTATTCTCGACACAGCAATTATAGGACTTGAACAGTGGAACTTTGTAACTGAACAAGAAATTATGTGTGTTTATAGAATTAAAGAGAATGTATTATCACATAAAAAACGAAGCAACTTAAACAACTTACATTGAAAGAAATGTTTAATAAAGTAAACAAATAAATATTAAGCTTTTTTCTTTTGTAAATTTTGATATCCTTTAGATCATAATTGTTCTTTATTTCATAAATTACGGTTTCATATTTTTAATTTTATAATTTCTGCATGCCATCTTACCAGATTTAAACTGATGATCTAAAATGCGGAAAAATCGATAATCCGAAATCGCTCTCCCGACGAGTCCGGATTAACGACTTTTGACTGTATAATGAATCATAATTAGTAAATCCTGAGTTTGTTTTAATTTTTATTTTAACTGTATAACTCGGGATTTCTATTTATATGTTCATAAGCAATATGTGCAAGAATACAAAATTTTAACAAAAAGAAGATTTTAATGGGCACACGAAGAGGTTCAGGACTCCTAGCATTCAAGAAAACCCTTTATTCTTTCTATGCCAGAAGCAGAAAAAGGTTAAGGTCAAACTAGTCCTTCAGTATTCATATTAAGAAAGATGGTGAAAAAAGGTTACCTTAACATTTAATTCTAAGAATTCAGCTCCAAATGATTCAACTTGCTCTTTCACAGCAGCTCTGGTATCAAATGCTCTGACAATTGCCCCCATATTTTTGGCAGTCCCAATAGCTGATAAACCAGCAACTCCTCCTCCAATGACCAAAACTTTAGCAGGAGGAACTTTACCAGCAGCAGTAATTTGACCTAAATGGAAATAAATTTGTTTACATAATTACCCTTATAATATTTACAGTTATTAAATTAAATTTGTGTAAGGTGTTTCATAAAAATAGCAAATTACAAATTCCATAATTGATTTATTAAGCCAAAACAAAACTACAATTATACAAATTTTATCTGGTAACAGCAAAAAAATTTCTGGTTGCAAAATCGCTGCTAGAGGCACTGTTAATCAAAAATGGCATCATCCATGCAAGAGAAAAGAGTACTGTGCTTTGGAATATGCTAAAACTTTATAACTTACTATCGTTCGAAGATATTTTCATGAAAAATCTGGTCTAAAATCCAGAAAAAGAAACACCACATCATCACAGCATCAAAGGAGTGGCTGAAGCAGCTTCAGGCCATGAACTGCTTGTGTACAAAAAACTAACCCGAATAAACAGCAGCCAAACACAAAGTGTTTAGAAAAAATCACAAAATGTTCTAATAAGGTCCCAGAAAATCAGCACATTGTGCAAGTTCTGAACTCGATGTGCCTCATCTAATAGCGTGCCGTGTATTACGGAAATGTCTGCAATTCCAGACATACACTTTTCAGATGGTGCATGCATTAAAACCTTCTGATAAACCATTGCATAAAACTTTCTGTGAGAATCTGCAAGATAAGCTGGAGGTAGATGGTTTCACAGCCAGACTTATGTTTATGGATGAAGCCATTTTTTCACATTGCTGGCAAAGTTAATCACCATAATTTATGATTTTGGGGCATGAAAAATCCACACGTAATGGAACATGAGCTTGATTATCCAAAGATGAATGTTTTCTACACCAGTTCTAACAATTGTTTTTTGGTTCTTTTTTCTTCATGGAAAAATCAATTAGTGAGTGCATTTACGAAGATATGCTATCAAAGCAGTTATTCCCTCAGTTGGAGGAAGTGGTTCTAGGCTTCATTTTGCACCATGATGATGTCGCACCATATTGGCATAAAAATGTAAAACAGTTATCTGAACGATAGTTTACTCCATTGGTGAATGAGCCGCACTAGGTCAAACAATATGGCATTGCTTTGCAGGCCACTGAAATCCCCTGATCTAACCTCTTGTGATTTTTTCCTAAGAAATGTTGAAGACAAGTGCCTCCATTTCCCCAGGACTTTCTGAATGGTGGATTGGCATACCAGATAGGTATTTGCCATGTCACCGGAGGGGGCAAATATAGAACATCTATAGAAACTTGGATAAGTATAGTTTCACTGTAAATTTGATTTATCAAAATAAATTGCAACATTCATGGATATATTTTGGTAACATTTAATGTGAAACACCCTTTATTTATAGGAATAAACAACCTGAACAAGGTTTTGGGTCAAAAAATAAAACTTAAAATAATATAGCATATTACAAATTAAATCTATTTAAAAATCTAAATTTATGAAAAAAAAGGTACATGTAAGATCAGTACTTGTCAACTTCTTTCTCTGCAATCCATCCAGCAAACCAGAGACCAAGCAGCAAAATTATTGAAAACTTGTAGTTTGGCCTCGCTTTACATCAGGGAGAACAGGGTGGCTACACTGCTTAAGTCAGGTTATTTGAATATGGCAAAAAACACGAGGGCTATCTGAATAAGAGAAGAGTCTTCGAGGGGCATTTTGTAAGAGAAACTGACTTGTATTTGCATTACACATAGGGTAAAACCACAAAACCCAACAATGAAGCAGCCAGTTTGCCTGTGATCAAATACAGGTTCAATTCCCTGTATTTGATGCTCACGAGTTCTTGGCCACTGGTGAAGCCTGGCTGCATGAAAGTTTTTGTGGTTTTTACCATGAATGTGAAACTGAGCCAATTTCTCTCAGAAAATCCTCCATGAAGATATTCTCGTTTTTAGGTAGATAGCCCTCCTGCATTTTGCTATGTTGAAATAGCCAAACCTTTGAGGATATATAAACCCCTAATGCATTCACCTAATATGTGGCAAAGAATGAAACTGAAATGACAATAAGAGTCTAGAAGAATGAGGTATGGTGATGTCTTACATTTCTCTTTTAAATTTTAGCCGGTAAGGTGAAGTGTTAATTTTCTACATTCTTTCTTTCGGCTATGTATACAGAACACGGGAGACAAAAGTTAACACACACAGACCCTCCAATTAGTGACCAAAAGTGCTAACAACACCTCTGTGGGGGATTCTATCTCGTTGAAAAAGAAATTAGGAAATTCTTTAAGAATAAGCTCAAGAAGGAGTAGTATACATGAAAACATTCAAGCAAAGAGATACTAACAGCAGTAAATGCATAAAAGCAGGGTGAAAAAGGGAGTTCTCCATACATACCAAATATGAATGAAATATTCATAAATTAAATTATTCCCCTCCCCCCAATACATATTTAGGGTCATTTTTATGATGTTCTATTATCTGCTATCTAGTGATGAAAAACAAAAGTAACCTGTTGGTCAAATATACCTGTCAGGCAAACATACCCATCAGAAAATTGGGTTGTCAGACAACTGAGTGCCGGGCAAACAAAGTTATCCAGTAAAATCAAACTGAAAGATTTTATATGCAAAGAGATTTTAAGACATTAACATAAAATGCTCTAAAAAAGTCCTTCAGATTTGGATAAACATATTTAACTGTACTTGAATGTGAAAGGACAGCATTTTCAGCACCTATCACAAAACAGATCGCGTTTTGCATCATTGATGGAAAGACTATTTACTTTATATACTATTCCAGCTCGCATTTTTTTACGATAATTTTTTGTATGAGGAATTTTCTGGTGTCAGAACAAACTCTAATGACATTCTGATATCCTTCAACTGATTATAGAACACAAAAAAAGTTTAATAGAAATTACATACAGTGTGGCAGACAGCTCTATGTACGAATTGTTGGAAAGGCTATTCAATGCAACACTTGGATGAAGCTGTGTATACTCATCAAATTCTAAATCACAAATATAATTTGATTGATCCAGCACAAAGATGCATGCTCAGAGCTTCAAATGGCTGCATGAAACAGCATAACAAGAAACAATGAGGTACTGCAAAGCAGTATTCAACACTTACTTATTAGAGTTCTTAAGACATAAGCACTTGAAAGAAGGAAGTCTTTTTAAGCAATTATGGTGGCAACTGGATTTTGTTTCTATCGAAAACAATAGTTTTATAAAACTACATTACAATATTTCATTTGTTATATACAACCACATGCAACATCAAAAAAAAAAAATTATAAGCCCTTGTTTTTTACAGTTTATCATTTGCATAGCTATCAATTCTTTCGAAATAAAGTTGAGTTTTCTCAGCTATTTGATAGTTTATCTATCCTCTGGTGTTTATTTAAATAATTAAGTATTTGAAAATGTATGTATATGTTCCTTGCATTGTGAAAAAAGAATAACAGCTAGAGCTACCAAATTTTTAATCCACCCAAATACTCCATCAGAACAAAAGAACCTCAAAGTCCGAATTTTGAATTTGTTTTTGCTTTATTTCATATTTTGAGCAAATTTAAGGAACTTTTGTTTAAAAAAAACCCAGTGATTTGAAAGTAAGAAGTGACAGCATTGCTCAAAATAAAACATTTTTATCTTTAATGCACCAATTGTTACCATTCAGTAAAATGTAACATTTATTTATCTTTCAGTTTTAATACATAAATTCGGTTATTTGAAAAGAATGTATTGTCACTGTCTCTATATATTTATCTCTACACACCAGAGTATTGCCATTCAGCAATGTGTAAGATATTTAAGTTTCACATTTAATCTTTCTCTTATTGAGTAGCAAGCCAAGTGACTGAAAAGCAATTAAGGCAATTCTCAAAAATATTCTTTCTACTTTTTAATCTGACTCATTTATGTATACCAAAATGAATTTAAACCATGAGATGCCCAATTGGAAATATTAAACATATTTTATGAAATAACAGTTCTGAACTTATTAAAATCCATTTTTTTTATGATAATTCTTTTAGACTGCTGGCTGCTTGAGGTCCGAGTTTTTCAAAGAAATAATATAGTGAATATAAAAAAGTGTATGACAACACCCAACACTCTATTGGAAATTCTAAAGATACGCTATTTTTAAATAGTTTGTGATTTTGCTCAAATTTTATCCACGGTAAGTGCGATGAAAGTGATGCTTAATAATAAAGCTAAAAAAAGAATAAGACATTATTTCCTTTTTTTTATTATGTTTTGTTTCTTGGCTAAAAAAAAGTGTTACCAAGAAAATGTGAGTCAGGATAACTGACACATACCCCTAATTACAGATAGTAGTTTGGGGCCAGTAGTAATAAAATTCTAATATAACTCTGATATAAAAAGATTTCCTCCCATTAAATGCCACTGTACCAAATGATATAAATAATACCTTATTAATGAATTAAAAGTAACACACAGTTTCAAACAACATGTATAGACAAACTTAAGCTTATAGCAATTAAACTTTTCATTGTCAATTATAATAGTTTAAATGTAGAACTAGTATTAACCTGTAAAGAATCTTCCAAAGTTATTAGCAGCTTCGACAACAGCTTTGTATCCTGCTATATTGGCCATTGAACTCAACGCATCAAATACTTGAGCTCTACTAATCCTTGGAATGCAATCCATCGCAAATACAGTCATGTGACGATCTCCTAAAGACTTGACAAGATCTTGATTTTGTCCTGGATACAGAAAACTTATAACAGTACTACCTTCTCTAAATTTCCCTACTTCTGCAGCAGATGGTGCACGTACTTTTAAAACAATATCCGAAAGGAAAGAGGAAGAAAGATCAGTAATTTTTGCTCCAACAGATTCATAGTCTGCATTGCTGAATTTTGATTCAGATCCAGCATCTTTCTCTACATTAACCTGTAACAATAATAACACATAAAAATTAATTACAGAAAAAAAAAATCACAACTGTATGCAAACATTGTATTGATATGAAGGAGAAATATTCTGTAGCCAAGTATATTTTCAGACTCGCAAATTGGCGGGGGAAATGTCAAGAACTGGCTTTTAAATGAAAAGAGAAAATAAATATGCTAAAAATGACATGAAATAAGAAATTATGGAAGGTGAGCTTGTGCCAGTTTGAGCCACTTCCCAACCAAACTAAACATTTGGTTCATTCAACTGGACCCGAAAAAAATGAAAATCAACTGAAACAAACTGCATTGTAACTTTACCAGGGAAGAAAGAAAAGTCCTAGATTTACTATCTCATTATGTTAAAACCTTATTCTAAAAAGCCTAAAGGAAATAATTATGTATCTTGTATCATAAATGATTTTATTCAGATTGATAATGAAATAGTTCCTTCTCATGCTGATGCCAGTTCAAATGTTCATGACTATTCTGATGTCATTGATTGCAGTAATTTAGAAACAAGATTACAATATCTGCAAAGAGATTAGCTTGTGAATGTTTTTGCCAGTTTCAGTTTCTCTTAGCAATAAACAACACACTGTCTATGATACCCCTTCTTAATGAGTTTTTTTTTTTTTTTTGGAGGGGGGGGTATATGGCTAGCAAAATGCTCAGCAGTTAGTCTCATGGGATTGAGAGTTGAATTACAGACATCTTTGAGCTTTGAAAAATAAGTGCAAAATATGCTTATATATTTCGCAGAAATATGGACAACTAACACCATCTGTTAACCCAGATCTGAATAAACAATTAACCATCATAGAAAAGCTTACATAAAATCATGAACGGGATACACAACTAAATAAATGGAAAAATGCATCCCAGAAGAAATTGCAGGTTGCACAAATTTTGCTACTTTTACGTTGCCCGTGGAAATTGTGGGATACGCAGTGAGAGGGTTAATAAATATCAGCAAGGCTTTCTGTTAGCCAAGATAAATGTATAAAACCAATACAGTCAAAAGTCTTTAATTCGGACACCCATAATCCGGACCTCAAAGCTAAAATCTTTTTGCGCATGCGCCGCATTGACGCATGCGCCTAGGCGTTTATGCGTGCGCGCAAGACCTTTACGACTGCGCATATGAGTCTGCACAAACGCAGAATACGTTTTCGCGTGCGCGTTTAATGTACAACGGACGGTATAAGCTAAAATTATCTAATTATCTATTTCAGTTAATGTTGATGATTGCGTTGTTCCTTAATCTTCGAATTGGATCCGGCTTATTATTTTTTGCAGACTGTAAGAGCAATTTTATAAAAGTAAGCTTGAACTTTCGATTATGTCAAAAAGAATTTCCGATGCTGGAGCTCCCAAAGGATCTACAAAACAAAAGTATGTTTCGACGTCCATCAAAGAAAAAGTGGAATTGCTCCAAAAAAATGGATAAAGGCATATCCTTTGTTTATCTAACCGTTCCGAAACCTGTTTATCAATATCATGCTGCTCTGCGCGGGGGGGGGGGGGGGGTTTTTGCGGCACTCAATGAACTGGAAGTTGATCTATCAACACTATCGTTATCTTCAGCGCAGATTTTTTATTTTATTCGGCTTATAATTCCTTACTAAATGTAGTATTTCATCTCGATGTACTCCGTCTTTGATATTATTTAAATCAAATTCCTTGTCATTATAAATATCACGAATACAAATCAAATAGTTGGTTGCAATTTTCTAATTTTGGCTATGCGTAATGTATGCTTTACGCATGCGCGCGTTGAAAGAAATGTTTAATAAAGTAAACAAATAAATATTAAGCTTCTTTTTTTGTTAATTTTGATACTCTTTAGATCAAAATTGCTCATTATTTTATAAATTACGGTTTCATATTTTTAATTTTATAATTTCTGCATGCCATCTTACCAGATTTTAACTGATGATCTATAATCCGGAAAAATCGATAATCCGGAATCGCCGAAGTCCCGACAAGTCCGGATTACAGACTTTTGACCGTACTTGATATTGTATACGTTTCAGTTAATGTAAAATTTTATGTTTACTGTTTATAATTTAGTTACAGTATTAAATTAGTATCTGTACTACATTTTTTTTTGGTTTGTGGCAATAACCAGTGTTTTAACTGCAGAGAAAATATTTCTAATTACAAATTTGCTAACTGGTTTGGTTTCAGAATGTGTATTATGTTTCTACACTGGTCTCAATGTAAAACTTTATTTTAATCCATAATGCTTAACCCAGAATTATTTTTGATCATTTGCGTTCCTCTGATTATCATTTAACTGATATTTATGTATCTCTAGGTGATGTAATTTAGGAGCTAATACGAAATTTTCTGAGTTGACTCACCCACCCTCCAAAGGAGGAATGTTGTACCATTACAGCAGTTTTCAATTAGCAATTCTTTTATTTTCCATCGGAAAAGTCCAGCTGAGTAGTCAGCTCTTTTAGAGTCTCTCTTCATGGCTGAAGAATAAATACCCGAAATGGTAGTTTGGACTTTATTTTGTAGCTATTTTTTTGTTACTATTAAGAAAGTACAAAAGATAAGGAAGAGAATGTTTCGACAGCTGATTAGGAAAAGAAGAGTTTGTGTGTCGGTGGGGATTTTTTCTTTCTTTAAAAATACTGTGATATTGTTCCTGTTTAGCATGAATTACAATTGTTAAGTTTTTAAATAAGCTTCCAAAAACAACCTGCCTGATATTTCTTTCATCCTAGAAAATTAAGACAGTGCATTGCCCATATCATCAACATTGAAAACCTTTTGTGTATGATATACTGATTTAGCATTATATTTTATGACAAACAAATATGCAAATTTCTAATTTACTTTTTACGCAACAATTATAACATTTCATTTTATTCTTCAATTTATAGAAAAATGTTTATTATGTGTTGCAATAATTTCATATAGCAAAAAACTAGCTGTTACAGAAACTATTCATAAATACTGATATTGAGCTTAATGCTTGATAAACATAATTGTTGTATAACAACATACTTCAAAATATTATGTAAAAAGTTTTGCTGTAAACATGATATACAAACTTTGTTCTATAAATTAATGCAATGGTCTCAAACTAGCAATATACAGCCCTCGAAAACAGTTCCTGTAAATTATTATGATAATAGTTTAAGTGGTTACTTCAATATATTAGAATTATTTGAATGAATGTCAGTTTTAAACTTTTGACACTTAGCTGTCACTACATTTGAATTAAAAAGTATAACCAACAGAAATTTCTTGCAGATACCACCTTTAGATTTCAGACAGAAAATAAATATAAATTGGAATTTTTTTCTTTAGATTGTTTTCATACTTATGTTTTGACAAATATGTAGGGCAAGTGCTTACACTTTAGTTAATTTTGCTGTACTTCGACCCATTACCTGCTTTTAGATCATGCATTTGGGCTGTGTGCAATTTGAATTTGAGAACAGTGTATTAATAAAATATTTTACAAAGCTAACATTAAAATCACAAGAGCAGTGTGTGACATAATACACAATAAATGTCACTAAACTTCACTATCATTACTTTTCTTGTTACATACCTGAAAACCTTTTTTGATTAAAGTAGCTGCAGCAGCTGGTGACAGAGCTACACGTCTTTCATTTTTCCAGCTTTCTTTTGGAACTCCAATAACAAGTTTTGAGTATGGTATTCCTTGAACTTGTGTTCCTTTTGGTGCATTTTCAGCTTGTTTTGCTTTGCATTTCAACAATGCACTCGTATGCAAACCCTTAACAGATAGTGTCCATTGACCTTTCAGAACTGCAGACAGGCTAGCCTGGCTAACGTTGGTGCATGATTTTAATAGAAACAACATTGTGCCTAAAAGAAAAATATGAATTACTAAAATTCTATAGCATTAAAAAAAATTTTCCACATCTTAAAATTCCAAAAGCAAAAAATTTTAAAATAATAAAGCAAATAATAAACAAATTTAAACTAAAATTTTAAACATTTTAATAGTAATTAGGATAAAAATTGTCACATATCAATAAAAGCACAACATAAACTGAACAAAAATAAATATTTAATTAATACATAAAAATAAAATTTTATTTAAATTTCATTTTCTTGGAGAATTCAGAATAAAAAATACCTGCAAGCATCATTATTAATTCAACCTTATTATACTGGTGTAGTTAAAAACATTGGAGTCAGAAAATTGCTACTACTACTATTTCAAATTAAATTAACTAATATTTTAACATACATGCAGAAAAAATAATAATAATGATTTCATAATTTTAACAGGTACTGTTCTGTTATCAGGGGACCGGGTACAGAAATGTATGCATACATGTATGGATGGATGTTTTCATGTATGCATGTACACTCTTTTGCAAAAAAATTTAAACACCATGAAGGAAATGGTTTTTTTAGATAAAACTGAATTATGTGTATAGCTCATACACAGGTAATAAAATGATTAAAAAAATCAAGGTCATAGTTCCTTTTCATGGCTCACAATCACCCATTGATTGTTCAAATTAGTAGTTGGTCGAACCACCCCTGGCAGAAATGCATGCTTGAATTTGTCGAGGCAAGGAGTGGTAGAGGTTCCCAATGTCTCCCTGTGACACATTCTGCCAGGCATTCACGAGTTGTCGCTCCAGATCTGCGATATTTTGTGGTGCCCAAACCTGGTGGCCTACTATGTCTCAGACATGCTCGATTGGTGAAAGGTCTGGTGACCTTGCTGACCAACGAAGAGTATCAACCGCATGGAGACAGTCCAAAGATATGCAAGTGGTATGTGGCCTGGCATTATCTTGTTGGAAAATGGCCCCAGAATGACGTGCCACGAAGGGTAATGCAAACTGCCGCAGGATATTATCAACATATCATTGAGCTGTTAAAAGATGTACAGAGGATGACAAAAACGACCTGCTGTCATAAGAAATAGCACCCCACACCATGGTTATGGCTGTATGCCTTTGTAAAACAAAAGATGATTGGGACCGCTGGCCCCATCCGCTCCAGACACGAATACGGTGGTCATCTGCTTCAAGAATGAAGCGGGATTCATCACTGCGACACCACTCCAGACAACTCCACTGAAGTTGTGGGGTCAAAGGCATACCTAATATCCTCCTTAAAGGTCTCTGTGAGCATAACCCTACCTCAGACAAGCACCATGACCCCGGGAGGTATAGACGTGGCTGTAGTGCATTGATAATCGATAATGATACCATTAGTCAATCAAGCTAGTGAATGTTGCAAGATGGTTAACCATTTTTATACAAGTAAAGTAATCACATTTGTTAGATTTGTTAAAAGCACCCTCCAAGAAGTGATCAGATATCTCAAACTGTCCAAATTTAAAATACATGGGAGAACCTTAAAGAGTCAACTAGGATCCTGCTGCTGATCTGAATTGAGCTCCAAGCCTGACATATGATCTCATTTGCCAAAATAGCTCTTAAAATTAAAAAATTAAGAAATGGGCACTTGAATTCCTTTACAACCTAAGGTCCCACTGCCTCTTTACAATCAATCAATCAGTCAGCAATGCTTCTGTCTCTCTCATCCATGAGCTACTGAAGAAAAATTTCATTATGCGATCCTCAGTTAAATGGTATCCACTATTTTTTTACCTTCTTTCCTGCCATTTGTTTTAAAACATTTCTGAATATCAGGATATTGCTAAAATGAGCCCATTCATTTTATCTTTTCTTTAGACTTATACTCCAGACTCTAATTATTCTTACCTCATAGCATTGGCGAAGCATAACACGATTAAATAAACTGAAACATCATTAATTTTATGATTGAGCAACTGAAAATTACACAGGCAGAAAATCTAAGCCAATCTGCTAATTTCAAACCAAGCAACGAGGCGATCACATCTAACAACGTGTGAAGCATAAAGTAACTTGTATGAGTTTCTCCTTTTATAGACGAAACATGTTTCTCTGCAGCAGATCTCCCGATTAGCTATGTGGACACTTTGCAACTGAGAAGAAAATGTTTTGTTTAAAAATCTGCATCTTGTAGGTTTTCTTGAAAGAACTGGTTTTTGTGCAGGTCAACCAATCAGATATCCCGAAGATGAAAATTTGTGAAAGTATTCCTTTGGAGCACTATTGATGGTTGGTAGTAGATAAGATACAGTCAAAAGTCGTTAATTCGGACACCCATAATCCGGAATGATCTATAATCCGGACCTCAAAGCTACAAACTTTCTGCGCATGCGACGCGTTGACGCATGCGTGTAAGACCTTTATGGCTGCGAATTTGCGTGTGCGCATGTGCAAAATACGTTTACGCGTTTAATGTATAACGGACGGGAAAAGCTAAGCTAAAATTATCTAATTATCTATTTCAGTTAATGTTGCAGATTGCGTTGTTTCTTAATCTTCGAATTGGATCCGGCGTATTATTTTTTGAAGACTGTTAGAGCAATTTTATAAAAGTAAGCTTGAACTTTTGATTATGTCAAATAGAATTTCCGATATATATTTACTAATATGTAAAGGATATACGAAGCGAAAGTATCTTTCGGAGTCCATTCAACAAAAAGTGGAATTGCTGCAAAAATGGATAAAGGTTAAAACCTTTGTTAATCTAAACTTTAACATTTGTTTATCTATCTAAACTTTGTTTATCTTTAACGCTGCGCCGCCGCACAATGAATTGGAAGTTGATCTGTCAGCACTATACTTATCTTAAGAGCAAATGTTTTTATTTTATTTGGCTTATAATTGCTTACTAAATGTAGTACTCCATCTTTGATATGATTTAAATCAAATGCCTCGTCATTATAATTCGCTTCCGATAGCAAAGAAAGTGACAGAGGTTATTGAAAACGAAAAAATTTCGATTGACAAATTAGTCGGTATTCTCGACACAACAATTATAGGACTTGAACAGTGGAACTTTGTAACTGAACAAGAAATTATGTCTGTTTATAGAATTAAAGAGAATGTATCATCACATAAAAAGCGAAGACTCTTAAACAACTTACATTGAAAGAAATGTTTAATAAAGTAAACAAATAAATATTAAGCTTTTTTTTTTGTAAATTTTGATACCCTTTAGATCATAATTGTTCTTTATTTCGTAAGTTACGGTTTCATATTTTTAATTTTAGAATTTCTGCATGCCATTTTACCAGATTTAAACTGATGATCTATAACCGGAAAAATCGATAATCCGGAATCGCCGAAGTCCCGACGAGTCCGGATTAACGACTTTTGACCGTACCAATTTTAGATGAGATATTTTATTTTAAATTATTTTTTAAATTGTCATAACGACAAATTGAAAAATAAAATGCAGATAAAATATATGAGGTATCAGCTTTTGTAAATCGCATATTAATTGACTGATAAAAAAACCTGATTTTCTTGAAAACACTTGGGCTCCAACGACAAAGTTCATGTTTCTACATTCTTCATGTGGCAATTGAAAGTGTACGTAAATGTAAAATTTAAATACACATTATCATTTGATTACCTTTGACTGGTGTATTTTAAAGAGTGTACTGTAAATATTGTGTAATATTCATATCATTTGCCAAGGAATATGCAGTCTAATCAAACAACCGCCAATAGAGAAAAATCTAAAGAAAAATTCTGAAACCACCAACAGAAATATAATCAAAAGCATTCTTTGTCATCTCATGATACTTTAAAATTATCATTCTTGACCATAAATACAGTTGATGCAAATGATATTGCCAATGCTCGTAAAATTAAAGAAAATCAGAAAAGCTTATTACTATAATATGCAAGAGAAACAAATTTCCACAAAAAGGTTATTGCGATTCAGGGCAAATGAAAGTAAATGACAATAGTGTTAAATGTCATCAGAATGAAATAAACTTGCAACAACCCCTTGGATTTCTAATAAATACAGAAGATGAAATATAAAAAATCATTTAGAATCCTGCCACAATAATGCGATGTATATTTTACCAAACATACAAATGAAATTATAAATGCTTGTTATGGTAAACATAACTGAAAAAGAGAATATAAGGAAATAATTTTCAATTACAGCTGATAAAAATACACATATTTCATTACCAGAGTAAATTTCTATTTGTGATATGTAAAAGAAATTGAAATAAGAACTACTACAACAGAAAAATGTTTTACAATTCATACCTGTAGAGTTACAGAAAAGATTTGGCTAATGCCATTATAGACAGTTTGATATCAATAGGTTTTTAGATTTGAAATACATGAGAGGTCAAGGTTATGATGGTGCCGCAGCCATGTCCGACACATTCAAAGGCATACAAGGTGAAGTGAGAGAAAACTTCAACACTCTTTTGTACACTTTGCTTCTCAATCTTTAATTTGGTAATTTCTGATCAGCCTCTTTAACAATATTATTTGCAGTCAGCAAATTTTTTTATTCTTTTACAAACACTCCAAAAAGAAATTCTATTTTGAGAGAAGGTGTGTCCATTTTCAAGAAAAGCATCTTTGATCAAACTATGTCCCACTTACAGGACGGAAAGACACGAATCTGTTATGGTTATTGTGGAATTACTAAAACCTTTCACTCCTGCACGAGAAATAATATAGAATTGGAATGATAACGAATCATTTTCTGGCAGTGGCGTAGCTCGGATTCCAGCGCCCGGGGACAACTGAAGAATTTGCGCCCCTTTCTGTGTGCCAAGAATGAAAAACATTTCATTAAAAAATTTCGTAGCATCAATTTGGCGCCCCCCTGGATGCTGCGCCCGGGGACAAGTGTCCCCCCTTGTCCCACCCTAGCTACGCCACTGTTTTCTGGGGTTTATATACTCATTGAAATAGTCTGCTTTTGTGATTGCATTATTTTCAACTGCAAAAATATTTTTATAGAGTATATATACTTATATATATAATTATTAAGTGCAATTCTGTCAAAATCAATCTATTTCAATACAGAATTTAATCATGTGACAATATTTTAAGAGAACTATAAAAAGTTCATGATAGTTCAAAAAAAGGTTGGAATGCAATTCATTTAGAATAAATGAAGAATTTTGTTTTTTTCACGACTGGTAAGTTGTTTTAATATTATAACTATATTCACTAAATCCTATTTTTAAATATTTATTTTTAATTATTCAAATGATGTGACCTAGCACTAATAAAAACATTTTATTAAACATAAAATCTTAAATTCATTTAATCTTTCAATAACTCAAAACTAATTTCCTCTGAAATCTGAATATGAAGGAAAATTCAAAATATTTTTATTTTTAACTATGTATCCTTCTGATTCTGTGATTGTAATATATGTACTTAAACTACCGGAATATCAAATATGCCAAAGAAAATTGTATCAAAAGCAAAATACCTTATCTGCAACAGAAGTTTTAATTTGGAATAAACCACATGCAAAAAGCAAAAAACAGAAGCATAGTGGCAAACCTCAAACGGATAAGTAAAACATGCCAAAACAAAAAATAAAAAATGATATTTTCATCTTTCATTTCATGTCATTAGGGGGTTGGTGACATTTTTTGCCCCCTCTCCCAATTTTTTTTTTTTTTCCCCCACTGTGCTATGCTTGTTTTTTCATGCAGTTATTTTTTTCCCTCTAAATTAAATATGGAATGGATTTTAAATGCATTTATTTTTTATTTTGCATTATTACCACCATTTGTTGCTGCTATCACTGAACAACTAGAATAGGTTTTGAATTTACACCTTTAAAAAAATGCAGAATGAGCATTAATATATAATTTCGTATAAATTAAAAACTATTTTAGGAATACCGTTTACCTGATAAAATAATGTTTTTGACTGCTAATTGGTATTTTATTAAACTTTCATCATTTATGACATAATTAATAAATGAATATGCACTTAAATAACCTGACATAATTGCACATATATGAATATAAATTCAATTCAATTTTTAAATAATAGAATTATAAATAAGAAAACTGCACAACTTTTGACAGTATGATAATGACTGTACCCCTCCAAAATTAAATTCTACAGAGTTTCATGAAACTCTATGTAAAAATCTACCAAGAGTTTCATGAAATGTTAATACTAAATTAGTTATGTATTATATTATGTTTTTATTTAAATTATTAAGTTTACACTCATTATCTATATTTATGGGAGTAAACAGCAAGATAATAGATTCGACTCAATCAAGGACCTGTATTCACATAAAAACGCGCCGGCAACCGGCGTTTACATTCACAACGTTTAATGCAAGAGGACCATTAGTTTCTAATATTGCTTGTCATTAAAAGTTATCTATTTAGTATTAAAAGTGTCGTTACATTGTTAAACTACTACTAGCTTTCGCAAGGTATTATTTATTTTTTTATCAGGGTTACTATTTATCCAACAGACTGTCATACATTGCACGTGGTTACAGATTTAAACAGCTACTGAAATCAAGAATGTTCAAATAATTTTTATTTTTATTTACAGCAAAGATATAACATTAAATATGAATTGTTATTTTAATAAACAATCAGAAACCACATTCGAATACTTGAAATAATTGTAATCTTATTGCACATTTACAAAAGTTGCTTTGCTGAGTTAGTATTTAGTTTTAAATTCAATCACAAAATGGATTATAACTGAAAATACTTTTCAAATATATAAGCACTTACAAACCTACCTATTGGTATCTATCACAGATCTATCACATAACTTGCGTGAATGTCCGCAAACGCGTTAACACTCTCCGCCACGCTGGTCGTTTATTTTCAATTTCCGACGTCTAAACAGGGTTGCCATGATCTAAATAACAAACGCGAGAATTAGGCCAAGTAGAATATGCCAAGTAGCCAAGACGGACCATGTGAGAACAAGTAGTTCAAATCCGAGTTAGCTCTAAATGAGAACTATGTTATGATTCTAGTTATCCGGATTTCAGGTTATAAGATCTTTTTTTTTCTATCTGTACTCAGTAAAATTAAGTTTTTAATTTATTTACTAGTTTTAATTTTTTTCTCTATTTAAATACAGTAGAACTTGATTATCCGAGATAATTATAACGACTGTCGCTTCGAATTATACAAAGTTCGGTTAATGGAAACTAAATTTTAAATGTTTTTCTCTTTCTTTCTAAAATTCTAAAAATAAGTATTTAAGTACAAATTTTAGAAAATTAACAGACATTTTTATTGCTAGATAAAATTTGTTTCCTTCAATAAGCAAATACTTAAAAAATTTTATTTCATGACAAAAATATCCATGAAAAAACTAGAATCTGGAATAAATAAGCATTGTCATTTAAAATCTTGAAATAATTTGTTTTCCGTTGCCTTTGAGTTAATTACAACACAAGATTTAAAGAGTCGTTTTTCTCTTATCAGTGCAAATTCTTGTACTAGTAACAAGAGTGATCCAGGATTTAGAATGTACTAAGAAAGAGTGCTTGTCAGCTACGCTATGTTTTATTAAAGAAAATATCAAATTGATTTAAATGAAGTGATTTTGGAACTAAGTCTATAGACATTACTAATGTACTATAATATCACTATACTATCCTCCGTTATTCCTTGTGCGTCATTATTTAGTTACATTATAAGGTATTTCTCCCACCTTCTTAGCATGTCTTCGTGGTGTAATGGCTAGCACACTCGGCGCGCATTCGAGAGGTCCGAGGTTCAAGTCCCAGCGAGGGCATTGCTCATTTTTCATCTCTCCTGCTTCGAAATTACCTAATGTCTCTACAACTTTTTCTATTAAACTTAATTTCTATTAAAAACTTAGTAAACAAATGTAGTTAGGCTCAATTTTTGATGAATTTCTACGTTGACATATTTGTAGTTTTTACCTGGTATAAAGCAAAAAAACGACCCGCTTCTTCTTTCACTCATCTCTCCCCATCAGCAGCTAACCTTTACCCAGAGGCGTAGCTAGAGGGGGCAAGGGGGGCATCTGTCCCCGGGCGCAGAATCCAAGGGGCGCCAAACTGATGTTACGACATTTTAGAATTAAATGTTTTCCATCCTTGGCAAGCAGTAGGGGGCGCGAAATCTTCAGTTGACCCTGGGCGCTAAAAACCCTAGCTACGACTCTACCTTCACCCTGTTTTCGTCGATCAGCAGCAGAGTGGTTAATGTCGCTGAACACTGGTAGTTTGACGGGGTTCGATTCCAGGCAAACGGGCTGGTTGCATGGACGTTTTCGTTGTTTCCCTCTGTGTAACGTAGATAAGATCCAGTTCCCTTAGAAAGGTCCTCCAAGAAGGCATCCCTTCCTTTAGGCAGACAGCCCTCGAGTGATTTGCCATAATCAAACATACTAAAATTAACTATTTCCTCATAATCGAATAAGCTGCAATATGTAGTGTCAGTGACTTTGAATATATGTCACACTACATTTTTTACTGCTTAATTTCATTTACAAAGCAATGAGATCTGGTAAAAATTCATCTTTATTTCAGTAGAAATCAAAATGTTTGCTATGGCGCACCGGAGTCCTTGTTAATTAATTTTCTATAGTTCTTTCTGTGTATTTTAATAACATCAGATGAAAAGTTATACGACTTAAGTTCGAGTATTCTAAGATTGGTAATAATAAAGTATAGAAGCTTATTATTTCAACAGAAAATGAGCGGATTCGACGATTTGTAGACTTTTTCAAGCAACTGGCGTGTCGCCTTCAATATTCAGACGCTTGCGAGACGTCAGATTAAGTAAAGAATTCAAGTCATAAAACAATCAATAAATATAGTTCTAAATAACAGTAAACATTGTAATAAGAATAAATATAGTACAGAAATAGCAATAAATATAGTACAGAAATAATAATAAATATAGTATATAAAAAAAATCTGAAAGGTTTCAGATTTTAAACTACGTCCAAAGAGGCATTTTTTTAACATTTTGCGTGTTACCTTTTTTTATTAAATATCATGTTCTTCGCACTTAAACCATAAAATTCAGTTCCAGAGCAATATCGCAAAATAATTTAAAATTCAGTATATCATTAGAATTTCCCATACACAGTCTCACGCGCTGGAGATAAAAATGTTTTTTTCTGTACAACGTTGACATCGCCGGTATTGAAATCCTTGAGACTGTTAATCAAAAATTCGTTAAAGTTTTACAAAATATGAAATCAATAATAAAACAAATTCCAAATTTCAAATTTGGACTTCCAGATGCCCATATTCGCAGGAGGATTACGTCATTCAAAATTTGATGGCTCTAGGTACCGTTGTGTTATCACAATGCGATACATTCATGCGGAGTCTTCATTATTTAATTTCTTTAAATATAATACAGGGCTGTAATATTTGGTGGCAACAATTTGAAAATTGGAACAACGCTTGTAGTGAATCAACGAAAAATGCCAAAACGAAATTAATAGTTCTTCTGGCAAACTGCTCTTTTGGACTAAAAATAAATAATTTTAATCAATACAGAAGTATAGATCCTAAGACGTTTTCAGTTTTGGATTATTTGATTAAAGTAGAGCATTCCAGTGCTGTCTGCCTAAGGGAAGAGAGGCATTCGTGGAGAAATTCCTACGAGAAACTGGCTTATGTACACGTTTAGAGATGGAGAAAACCACAAAGGCGACCATGGAGCCAGCCGGGATTCGAACCCCAGATATAAAAACCACTGTTCATCGCTCAGCCAGTCATGAGCCTAAAATGTATTCGTCGTAAAAGGATTCCTCTAATACAGTATCCCCCCCCCACTTTCTTTTACTTAATTTTGTCTCCCGAAAATCGTTAGGATAAAATACAGTATCCCCCCCCACACTTTCTTTTACTTAATTTTGTCTCCCGAAAATGGATAGGATAAAATTATACCAATCATTTAATTTCCAAAACATGCGGTGAGAAATGAAAATAGTCATAGGTAAACTGTAGGTAACTATAAAAATATTTCTTTAATAGATATCTACATTTCAATAAGAATACACACTAATAGTAACAGTACAGTATATAACAAGATGTCTTCATTTCTACTTCCCTGTAACGTGATACTCGCAGGTTCTTTCTGTTGTTTTTGGCATTTTATGGCCAAATCCATAATAAATCTATCCATATCATCCATAAATAATTATAAAGGGTGAATGTGCAACTGATACAACGAAACTGTAGACCGGATGTCAGTTTATGTTTAAATAAATGATAATAAATAAATGAAGAATTTGAAAGTTTGAATTGAGGGAAGAGTTTAAATTTCTGATAATAAATAAATAACGAAAGACTTGGAAAAGAAGCACATACTCTCTTTCAGTCGTCTTCATCTGATTATTATTATTATTGTTATTATTATTATTATCTCCCCTCCAAAAAAAGGCTGGATACTTTCTTCCCAAAGATCCATCATAAATAAGTTAATACTTTGATACGTCCACTCTAGAGAGCATTCTACCATTATCTTAGCACTTTTCTGTAACTTAAAAGATGTGTCCACAATGGGCTTTGTGATAAAGAGTTCCTTAGTAAATTCTTACAAAGAGAGATCTTGATGTTTATCAAGAAACAGCCCATCTTTCACATAGCAGTATTATAAAGGAGAGCATTGCCCAGGCTGCGCCACAGGGGGGTGGACCAATACTGCACCTGCAGAAAGGCTACAAGGATACATACAATTGTTAATATCATCTTCGGAATTCGAGTCCGGATTTAGGGTGACTTTTGTAACCTTTTTTGTGACCTTTGTAACCTTTTTTGTGACCTTTTATTTATTTATTTATTTCCCCAAAATAGGATATTTTTATTGACTAGCATTAAGGGGGCTCATACACCTTAAACCCCTTATGATCTTCGAATATGTGATTGTTGCAAGAATTGGAATATTTTATTTATTTTAAAAGCAATTACTTCCATCTTTGTACAGCTGACTACACATAATATAGCTGCTTTGGGAACTAGTAACCAGAAAACTTGTGCTGCCACAAATATTTTTGTAAAATAATCCGCTTTGCGACAAAAGTTTTCGTCATGTTTCCACCTTGCGCGCATGATATTTTAAAAATGGCTAATGGTACATTCTTTAAATTGGATGGAATTCTTTATATGGGCACTATTTTTTAACTGAACCAAAAATCTGAAGAATATTTTAATATTAAAAGATTTTTTTTGCACGAAAATATTACAGAATTTTTTAATAAAATACATTTTATAAACTCAATTACAAATAAAATAAAAATTTAACATGAAATTTTCAGAATTTTTGGTTCACAGTAGTTCTCAAATGTTTTAAAAGCTATATATTAAATATGAAATAATATTATGCAAAAGAATGTTTTAACCTGTGCGCGCAAGGTGGAAACATGACGAAACATTTTGTCACAAAGCGAATTAAATTATAAAAATATTTGTGGCAACACAAACTTTCTGGTTACTATTTCAGAAAGCAGCTATATTATGTAGTCAGCTGTAAAAATATGGAAGTAATTGCTTTTAGCATAAATGAGTTGTCCCAATTCTTGCAACAGTCACGTATTCGATGATCTTATGGGTTTTAAGGTGTATGAGTCCCCTTAAGTAACTACAACATTTTATAATTTTGAAAGCAGAGATGACAAGTTTCCCTTTGATGATATCAAAAAAAAAAAAAAAAAAAAAGTCGAAGAAACAGTTTCATCCCAATGAGAAGAAAATGTATATTTTAGTGCCACATTTTATTCATAAATTTAATTAAAATATTAACAAGTGTGGACAAGGTACTTGCATTAACTTTCACGTTTATTTGTGCTGCAGTTTCATTAATTACGATCTGCAATCAATTAAGAATTTTCATTCTCTTT